GGCGTCTTGTTCCTCCTCCCCCACGGCCTCCTCGTCGCCCCACCGCTCGTCAAAGTCGTCATCGTCGCGACGTCTGCGGTGTGCAGTGTTTCTTTTGTGAGACTTGATACGGGGTTCGCTGGACCGCGGTTCAGACATGTCGAAGATGGTATGATTCTCTGGTGGGAGTGGAATTCACCTGGTGACGAAATCCGCGCCTGATCGAGGCGATCTCTTGGTCCTTTGCAGTCGACACACTTCTTGAACGAAGGACAGTACTGTTATCGGGTCATGGTCATCAGAGCATCTGCGTAGATTGTTGGAGTTGGCAAAGAGGCCGTTTTTCTGCCTGCGACTCTTCGACAGGGTAAAAACATTTCTCCGCAAAATGTGACTTATGTAATCCACCCCCACGAGGCTGTCACGCACGCCACACAAGGCTGCAACCCTGAACTTGTTGCCTGTGCAGGGCGTTGACTTGTTTCGGCAGCACAATGGGAGATGGAAGCCCTCGAAGTGAGATTACTTACACGTTTGTACTATTGATCCAGTAGTCTAGTCATCGCGTCCCCCCTTCATGTATTGACCGATCATTTCCCGCCCTTCTAGTTCCGATCAGTAGTTGATTCTATATACTCATTCCCTCCCTGCTACGCCACAGAGTCATGTCTATACATCGTCATCATTAGCATCGTCAACTTCTCTCAGCCACGCAGCTCTAGCATCAACAGCTTCCTTCCTCACATCACGCTTCGTGTCATCCAAGATATTCGTCAGCCCATGCAGGACTTCGCGCTTGAGTGGAATCAAAGGATTGCCTCGGGATGCGCTTGCTGAGATATATTTCGGCATCAGAGCAAGACAGCGGACCGCCAAACGTCGGGTCTTTGGCAGATTTGTTGGAGGTACGGGTGCAAGTCCTTTCTCTGGGAAGGCTGATTTCACAGGACCGGCTGCTTTGGATTTCGTCAGCGTCGCCACAGCGATAAGTCGCTTCACCAGAGCCGGTATGTGGCCGCTTTCTTCGAGCGCAGAGGGATTGTTTGATATGACAACCGCGAACGTTTCCAAAGTCGCAATCTTGACGGTCTGATCTGCAATGTCCAAGGACTGCAAAAGAAGGGGCAAAAGGGTCGGAAGCTCCGGCATCACAATCTCCGAAGGCACAGACGCCATTATGCCACTCATTGCCACGAGGAAATTCTCTTTTTCAAAGGCTGACTGTGACGTCTTGAATTTGTCGGAAATCATTGGCGTCAACGTCTGGAAGACGCGCTGAGGAGCAAGCAACCTGATCTGCGCTCCATTCTGCTTGCACAAAATGTCATCAGCCGCCAGAATGGTGGCGAAACCTCGGGCTGCCAGCTGAGAGACTTGGTATGGATACTGCTTCGAATCAAGGAGTTCGACGAGGTTGGCCAGGTACTCGTTCGTCCGTGGGGAAACTCGGAGTATTAGAGCTTTGAAGAGCGCAAAGAGGAGGCGAATGTCAAAGTCGGGCGTTTTGGTTTCATCCATAGGTTCGTCCTTGAGCGCCGACAGTTTCTGGGAGACTAATTGGTCAATATAACCCAGATCGGCGGTTGCCATATGCTTGTTGACGTAGAGAGAAACTTGAGAAAGACAACTCTGGGTGACTGCCGCACTGTGAGTGGTTGAAGCGAAAGACACCAAGTTCTGGATACTCTGCGGAATCTGGTCTTTTGTGAGCAGCGAGGAGTTCGAGCCTCTGGGAACAGCTGCCAAAAGCCACGTCGACAGGATGGTCCGTGTAGGCTGATTGACCAAGTGGACGAGGCTGTGAGATCCTTCGCTGGCTGATGATTGAGTGAAGAAGGAATAGAAGTTTTCTGCAGTTTGCTGAACTGCCGCTTCCGCAGAGTGTCGGACGATCAAATTCATGATCCGTCCAAGTAGATCCAGCACGTTCTCATGCGTGAGCGGACCGTGATTGACGCCTGATATCCTTCGGGAGAGTCCCACGACCACCCGTTCGAAATACGCATCCAACGTTGCCTTCTGTTCCGAGACGCTGCGATTCAGAACGTACAGGACTGTACCCAAGATTTGGCAGGTGTAGGGATACGGTGGGCCCTGGCTGGAGCTGAAAAGGATGTCCAATTTGTTCAGAAGGCGTCTCATCAGTGTTCCCAGCAATTCCTTTTCGAGGCTGATCTCCGCCAACCCTTCAAGCACAGAGCTGGAATCAGCGGTACGGGCTCCCTCTTCAGTGTCAGGTAAGCGTGCCATGAAAGCTGGGAATGAGATATTGGAGATCAAACTAGGCTTGAATTGAGATATTTCGGCCAAGGCCGTCATGGCTTTCCTTTTCAGTTCGTCGCGACCGTAGGACTCCTCTTTGAGGACAATATCATCGAAATATTGGACGAAAAGACCGATCTCGTCATCTGCAAGCACCGAGTTCATTTTTGAGACCAGCAACAGCCCGTTTGCAGCTGTCAACCGGAAGGACACCTCTTCCTTGACCGTCCCCATCAAGGCTTGGCTATATAGGGTCACAAATTTGTCCTTGTATTCTCCGACAAGATTCTGTCGCCCTTCGGAATTTTTAGAGCTTGGAGATGTCCAAGACCCATAGACTTCAATGGCAGCTTCGAACAACTGGTTGGCAACCTCCAAGATCGCTCGCTGTTGCACCAAGCCCGCCGAAGACTGATAGATACCTAACAGTGCTGGTCCAACGGTTTCGACCACAACTTCAAAAGCTTGGACCGAGGCGGATGACACCGCTTTCAAAATGTCCCCAGAAGCTTTCGCCTGGCGTGTCGCCGGCTCTTGCAGATGTTCCAGGCATTCCTTCTTGATAGGCGACAGGTATTGATGTAGTGGCGACGTGGTGGGATTTTGAGTGGTCTTAACAGTGGCGGATAAGCAGGCAGCAATGCCTTTAAGGACGTGCAGCGCTTCTTCGGCCAGCTCCGGCTCCTGGGCTTGCAGTACCTCAAACTTGACGGCATCCCAGAGGGGTATTGAGAATTGGGCCAGAGTCTCGGGGTCATAATTAGTGGCACAGGCCGCCAGAGTCTGCAGGCAATCTTTCTTGACGGTAGGGGAAGTAGAGTCGAGGCGATCCAGCATGTTGGGAAAGGTGTAGGGCGCTAGAACTCCGGTGGAAGCCAGACATTCCCGTAGTCTGTCCTTCAGATCCTGAGCTGTGATGCCGTAGGGATCATTTGGGGGCGGCCGAAATGTGATGGGAAAATAAGCATATACCGAATCGAACATGGTTTGTGCATGATCTCTGATGTCCCATTCAACCATGAGAACCCTGAGCATGGAGAAGATCAACATCAGATTTCGAGGATCCTTTTCACCTGCCACCAAATCCGTGATGCCCACGAGGGACTCATCCTCCATGTCCCTTATGGCTGCAAATGGGTCAGCGCGCTGTCCAGTGCAAAGGGTCACCTAATCCTACCTTTGCGGTGGTGATCCAAGAGTTCGTTCAGGAGCTGGAGGATGCGGTACCTGCCAGCCTGGTTGCGTGTCTGCAAGTCCGTGAAATGTTCAAATATCCTAGCATGCCTGTCAGCCAAGCCCGGTCGCACAATCCCGCTGCCAGACAACCCTGGACCACTTTCCAGGTGAGTCCTGGATAGCTGGAACGTGGTCCGCACTCACGCTCTCACGACGGTTTGAGCCATCTCATTTGTAAATCTTTCGAGACCCTGTAGCTTGGACAGTCCATCAAGTGCCCCTCCATCTTCGATGCGATCACAGAAAAACTGGCAAAGCACCTGTATCTGTTGTCTGGAGAGGTACTTTGGAGGGAGCGCTGAAATGACAGCAACTAGGTAGGAGATGGCTCGGGCCCGGATTTTCTCGTCATTGTCGTTGATGTACTCGCCGAGTGACTGGACGACTTCAATCAAGGTGGTCTGGCGACTCTCGAGTTCTTGGGCTGTCAGTATCACCGTCCAGTCCCATCGAGGCATGTGCGGACTTACTTTGCGCCGCCGACCTTGCGATTTCTTCGGCTTCCTGCTTGTTATTCTCGATGGCAAGGACATAGTTGCGCGTGTCCGAGAGAGCCATGACACATATTGGAGTCTTCCCAAGCGTCCTTCAGAGCCAGACAGGAGAAGAACGAGACCCTGGATGAGCGCAGTGTTCGTCCCAGACTGCGCCGTAGACTGGATTTCCTTCGAGGTCGCTACGTCAAAAAGTTTCGGCTCGGATTAGTGGTTGATTCGTCTAAATTTCCTAATTGGGCAAAGCAAGAAAATGGCGCCACTAGGGCTGCTTTAGTATTTGCTAATGGATCAGTTTCTATTGGGCACGTACAATCAGCCTTGTTCTTGCACTTATTGAGATACACCAACCTCAAAGACTTAATGTCTCGTTGACCCTATAGGGCATGCCATTGTTGACCCTCGACATGGTAGCCACCTCGCATTGAACACTCGTCGACATTTCAACGGCCGATGTAAGGCGGTACATGGAGCAGCTTACGAGGTACCGTGGTCAAACTCTGGGGTTCCATCCGACTATAGACCGAGTCTGGCTGAGCTTGGAATGCTTAAGCCCTTACTTTGATGGCGTGAATGATACTATAAACCTTTCATCATTGGTCCACGGCCTGTCCTGCGCAAATCTAACGAACCAAGTGCCCTCGAAAATCTATGGCTGTGCTGAATCGGGATATGCCGATCTCGACTGATTGACTATCTCACGCTGCAAGGAGTCGGGATTTTCCGATCTGATAATCTCAAAGATACCTACAAACAGGCATACAGTAAGTTCCTATCGGAGTCAAAGAGTTTTTCGTCTGCTTTTGCCGTGAAGCTTGTTCACTGCCAACTGCTGCTTGGGTCCACGTTGGTAGGGGACTATTTATTTGGATGGTGGCTGGAGACACTGAAATAGACGATGCCCCTCCGCCTCTAAACACAGCTCGAGCCCGAGTACTAAAATTGGATTGACTACGCAGATTGAAACCACATCAAATACAATCAGGTCCAGCATAACCTCGTGGGAGAAACAGCGTTGGTAACAAAACCATGGAGCCATTCCGCCTCACCGCTACGGGCTACAACATCAACTACCTCCCTCAATACATTGCCGACCGGCATGGATTCTTTATCGAGCAAGGCCTTGATGTCACTACCACAATCCCCACGCCATGGGATGGTGTTCTCGACGCGCTTGCCGACGGCTCCGCTGATATGGCGCTTGGTGGAATCTGGGTCCCGTCCATGTACCGTGGTCGGGTACAAGACTACACCGTGTTCGCTCAGATTGCGAATCGCTGCCCTCTGGCATTGCTTAGACGCACGAGCTGTGGCACAAAGTTCGACCTGGCTGACGTAGTCGGGAAGACAATCCTGATGAAATCCATCGGCGGCGCCAGCGTCGGCCTGTTCTTTAAGATGCTGTTGCGCGAAAACGGGATCGACCCGGCAAGAGTGGACTTCATCCAAGACCTGGATGGCGTCATGCTCGGAAACCTGTTTCAGGGGGGCATGGGCGACTTCTTCGTCACCGACAACCTCTCTGCGAGGACGATGGCGGCGCAGAATCCCAACGTCTCGGTCGCCATGGAGATGGTCACGCAGGGCGAAGTCCCCTGGAGTGTCTACTACCGCGAAACGGCGACCGTGACGCCGCACCTGCGGGACATGCAGAGGAGATTCTGCCTCGGGCTGAACAAGGGCATCGAGTGGGTGCTGCAGCGCGACGCCAACCTCTTCCGCGACGAACTCGCCGAGCTCTTCCCCAAAGCTCCCATCGACGTTGCTGTCGAGGTGGTCAATTCCTTCCGTCGATCCGGCATGTGGACCACCACCACCATCCCGCGTAAGTCGTTTGATCGGTGGCAGCAAGGCCTGGCCGACGCGCGCTTCGTCCAGAAACCCCTGACGTACGAATCCATCGTGGACGACGGGCCTTCGAGGGAGGCGGATACCGCTGGCACACTTCAGCTCGTTAGTTAGTTAAGGGGTCGTGAGATCACCGATATATAGCCTGCTTGATTGGAAAATCTCTTCTCATAGAGGGTCATACAGCCAGGCTAATCTAGCGATCGGTAGAAGCGTTATATATTGTTATTGAACGCTCAATCCCACCAAGGTTATGTGTATCTTTTATGTTTCTCGATGTATGTGCCAGCCTCAGATTCGAGCCAGGGGGCCATTCCACGTCCTGATCCCGACTCCTTGGATTGGATCTTTACCCCGGTTCTATATGTATCCTCTACCCTCTCCACTCTAGCTATTCACTGTCACTGTTTAATATCACAGTTGTGGCACTGCTCATGCTCGTGTACAGCTATCTAGCTATTTAGCCTAGCTCGCTGATAAAGCTAAACTCGCCCAAGTCAGGCCACTGGGCCGCCGTACTGAGCAACTCGCCGAGGTCGTCAAAGGTATTATTGTTAGTGTCGTCATCGACGGCGGCGATGGCACGAAGATGGCCTGCGCCGACGCCGTCGTCGCTTTCGCCGGGACGGGAGCGGGAGCGACTGAGCGAAAGCTGCAACTGCCTGGTCAAGGCGCGGACGTGGTTCTCAAAGTCGACGCGGTTCTGGTGCACCTCCTCAATGTCCCTGGTGACGAGCCAGTCGATCGTGGTTGATGACAGCGCGTCGAACGCGTCCCGACAGCCCGCGGCACTGGGGAACGTCTCGGACATGGCGGCCAGGGTGGAGGCGCAGGATTGGAGAGTGGCGATGCTCCTGGCCACGGGATGCCGCTCCCGGATCTCCTTGGAGTGCCACAGGCCATAGACAACGCCCAGCCCGGCCATGAACAGGTGGTGCACCGACTTCCACAGCATCTCGACCCGGCCCTCGCGCTGCAGCACTTTCAGGCCCGCGATGACCTTGCAGGACGCGTCGAACGACGTGACCACCTCTTCTGCCGAGCGGTAGAACACGCTCCCCGCCTGTGCGCGGTACAGCAGCAGGATCGCGTTGTTGTATGTCACGTCCCAGTAGGCCTGGGAGGCGAAGATGGAGGACGGATGCGCTTTGCCGGGCTCCGGGATGGTCGTGTTCCACTCTTGCAGCCGCGGAAGGATGTCCTGCAGCCAGGACGCCCAGTTGGGCCGCGGGTATGCCGGTCTCAGCGTCCACACTTGGCTGTGCTGGACATGCTTGATTTCCGACTCGAGTCTCGCAAGGGTGAATAGATGGTTGTGCGCCCGATGGGTGTGGATGTCGAACTCGTCATCTCGTTGCTGTCCCAGGCCTTGACGGCCGTACCCGGTCCAGGGATTCGGGAGTTGGACACGTGTGCTTTCGTCGAGAATGCCAAACGGGCGGCCGAGCGTGATGCACAGCAGCCGGTCGAAGTGATACGTCGAGTGCCAGAGGCGTCTGCGGTCGTTCAACACCTCCGGCCCCATGTTGAGACACTGTAACTCGGTCTCCCAGTGGAGGCCCACGTCGATACAAAGACGCAGCGCGAAGCCTGTGAGGTGCCAAAGGCTTCCTCGGGACGGAGACAGTGCGACAAACTGTGCCAACAGGAGCACCGTTCGGAGGGTTTCAATGTCACTCTTTGAGTATGTAAGGATCTTTTCGACCCAGGTGAGTGCTGACCGGAAACACCCGTCACTTTGGCTTGGTCGACCGCCTGATGTGTGCGGGACGTCGACGAGCGCGATGGCAAAGACCATGTACGCGATGAACATGTCCCTCTCCGGAACATCCACTGTGACTGAGCTTGTCCCTCTAGAACGATATGCGCTGTCTATGGCGTTGCTCACCTGCGAGCGAGCCAGGATTGGTAAGTGGGGTGTCCGGTACTGGAAGTAAACATCGACCAGATGATCTGCGACATGGCGAGGCGGCAGCGACGCTTTGGCCGGGGCGGATTCCAACAGCGAGAAGTCATGAAAAGGCTGCTGCTCTGGAACAAGTGGCGACGACAGGTTCTCGACATGAATGGCTGCCAGAACCATTTTGGCAAACGAGATACCGCTGCTCTGGCCCAAAAACCGCGGCTGCTGGAAAGGTTCAACCACAACCCTTTTGACTTTTGTCACCAAATCCTGGAAAAGGGGCGAGGCTTCATCAGAGGCAGACTGGCTCGCTGTCGGAAGGATGCCTATCTCGTGGGCTGAGGCCGTGGAATGAGGCGTCGTTGTAGTGATTGCCACCTCCCCGTCCGCTGCTGGAGGATCCCTTGTGCGTTCTCGCAGAAGCTGGACTTCCTGCGTGAGGGCGGCAATCTGCTCTTCCAGACTGGAGATGTAGTCACGAGGAATCTTGTAGCTATCAGCAGAGCAGGCCAGATACTCGGGGCTTCGAGGGGATGGAGAGATACTGACATCGGCCTGCTTCCCGGCATGATACGTGAGGCACGGGACGTTGGCGCTTTCGCAGCTGGAACATTGCGGATATCTCTGATCGCACTGGCAGACTCGGCGTGTCATCAGCGGCTCAAAGCGCTGTATCGCGATGGTTGTTGTGTTGATACCTTTTGTTTTCTCCGACGACACCTGCGCGCACATCGATAAGATTCACCATCCAATCTTTGACAATCTTGTTCCTCTTACCTCTGGCATGCATTCACTCCGCCTCGGATTCTCTTTTGATCGGGAGACATTATGTATCGGATAGCGACTTGCAGGAAAGAGACGATAGGGATGATTGTTCTGATGAAGGATGGATAAGTTGATGGGATGGAATGAAATGTGCGTCGGCAAATCCCGACACGGGCGAGTCTGATAACAGAGGCGGGACGCTGATTCGATGCCGTCAACGACATTCAGCAATTGACAAGCGATTATCATCTATGGTATTGAACAAGGGCATTCGAAAGGTATGTGCAACGAGGTGGCTTTATTGAGGCCTCATGGCGGGCGATGGTGTATATAACATCGCAACTCGACTCAATTCGAACGGGGTGGCCGTTCAGTCTCCTTCAACACCTCCTCCTATCTGAACAACAGGTTCATATCCTCGGACAAGTCGTGCCTTGAATCAGTCCCCAATATGGACATGGCCAAGGAGAATGAAAAGATGGCCAAGGATACAGTCTACGATGCCACCAGCATCACCGAAGATCACGCAGTTGGCACCACCACCGCCTTAGACATTGATCCCGCAAGGGAGGCAGCTGTGCGCAGGAAATTCGACATCTATGTCGTGCCAATATCGGTCATCTATCTGGTCATGTCCACTCTCGACCGTAACAATGTGAGCCACTGTTGCCTTGTGCCTCGGGGAAGAATATCTTGCTGACTCTTGCTTGGTCCAGCTTGGAAATGCTCGCGTGTTTGGGTTTGACCAAGATGTCGGACTGAAAGGTGGCCAGTTCGGTAATATCCAGACGCTGTCGAGTGTCTGTACTGTTGTTTTTGAGGTCCCTTGGGTCCTGGCCACCCGACGATGGGGTGCCAAAAAGGCCATTGGGACTGCGTTTGTCCTCTGGAGTATCTGTACCCTTGGGACTGCGTTTGTTCAAACGTACGGTCAAACCATAGCCTGTCGCATGTTGCTGAACGCTGCCGAAGCTGGCCTCGCTCAGGCTTTTGCCTTTCTGTTCTCGACCATCTATCCGCGAGAGCTGGCCGGGAAGCGGATTATGACCACCAACCTTGCCCAGTGTATCTCTGGTGCGTTTGGCGGTCTCTTCGCATACGCTGTCCAGACAATGGGATCCCGCCATGGTCTTGCTGCGTGGAGATGGCTCTTCATCATCGAGTTTGGCATCACTGTGGTCATCTGTGGCATTGGCTTGTTTTTCCTGCCAGGCGAAGTCGAGAAAGCATGGTTCCTTAGCGAAGAGGAGAAGGAGACGATGAGGCTCAAGAAGGAACGAGACTACCTGATCCGAGGAGAAGAGAAGCTGGAGCGAAAGTGGATCAAGATCGCCCTGACTGATCCCTTTGTCTACCTTCTTGGTATTGCTTTCTTCACTTCATCCGTCGCTATCAACGGGTTCGGGGTCTTTCTACCCACCATCATCGACGGTCTCGGGTGAGTTCTAGTACCGGGGTGGTCCACCATTCTTCTGCTGACATATTTACAGCTTTGCCTCCCTCAAGGTCAACTACATGACCATCCCAGTCTATGTTATCGGTGCCATCTCCCTGTGCATCCAGGTCTACTACTCGGACAAGCTCCGGAAGCGAGGATTCTTCATTGTTGGATGTTGTGTCCCTGTCGCCGTTGGCTATCTGATGTGCGTGGGGTCGAAGAACCCCAATGTTGGGTATGCCGGCATGTTTGTCCTTGTCATAGGTGAGTCACAGTCGGCCTTTCCTGAGAGGTACTGAGGACTGACCTCCACCCAGGGCTGTATCCCATTTCTACTTTGGCGGTAACGTGGATCACCACGAATCTCGCGCCCGACACGAAGCGCGCAATCGGCCAGCCCTTTGCCTATAGCTTGGCTAACGTATCCAACCTCGTTTCTGGACAACTATATCCGAGTCAACAAGGTCCACGATACGTCCCGGGTAACGCCATTTCGGCCGGTCTCACGATTGTGGCTGGATTTCTCTATGCATCGTGCTGGTTGCTGCTGAAGAGGAGAAATGCCAGGAAGGCAAAGATGATTGCCGAAGGAGCCACCACCAACGGCAAAGAAGGCGATCAGAGCCTTGAATTCACGTATATTCTCTAAAAAGTTGCGATTCTGCAATCCGAGGGGGTGGACATCAAGGTGGCCTAGTATGCCAGTTTGCGACGGGAGGAGCAGGACCAAGGCTGTTTCTCAGTGGATGGATGTAACCCCCATGTCCCTAGGCTGTGCATATCCCAGTCCTCAGGGTCAATATTGTCATCCAATGGTGGTTGCAGAAGCCGGAACTGATTCCTAGCTGCTCACTCTGCGAACAAATCAAATTCCATCTTCTCGGAACCAACCATATGATATCCCCGTCCATCCATTATACGAATAAGACGGTGATCCGAAGACGCACTTTCAGTAGCATTCGTTTCCGCTCCAGATCCTGCTCGAGGATACTGCTTCCACGGACCCAGTGGCTACTGACAGCATGGCAGACGACAAAAGCCGGAGTCGATATGCTGTAAGTCGATGCTACTGTGCTTGTGTTTCCTGGCGCTTCTGACCTGCCCCTGTCTAGTGCGACTACTGTTGGAAGAAAAAGGTATGTCGACGATAAATTGATTGGATGTGTTGCTCATCTATGCGACGATACAGCTCCGTTGTTCTCGCGAGAAGCCCAAATGCAAAAATTGCAGCGCTTGGACGAGTGATTGCACCTATTCTCGGGAACCATCTGGCAGCAAGTGTGGCCTGGATGTACACCCCGAGAGCACGGCAATCGATTTGCTAGAACAGGCTGGTCAGCATCGAGACTCCAGTTCCGGACTCGCAGTTCCTCCGAGCTGCTCAGATACTTCGACAGCCCAGGATCAACAGCCAGGATTCGGCGATGAAACTCACTCCAGTGTCACTTCAACCTTTTCCCACACTCATAACGTACTCAACTTCAATCAGATGCGCAATAGTCTGGCAGACATCACCAGTCAAGGCAGCGGCATGCTTTCTGACCTTTACAATCAATTCAAAGACTCGACTTATGACTATGACAAGATTAAAGCCGCTGTCAAGATGGCCAGACGAGACCATGAACCGTTCTTTATCCCGACAGAGCCGATTGGGGCCATGTTCATTCAATGTAAGCCTTACCAGCGTGACTTGACATCAAAAGACCCAAAGACCTGAGCTGACGTCCTCAGGTTTCCTTACAGTAGTTGATCGAGGCTACCCGCTCCTCAGTCGGCCTCCGCAAGAGATGCTGTTTGACTTGGTCTTTCGTCCCTCTTCGGTGGATAAGCGAGGATGGGTGCTGATGCTGAACACCATTCTTGCCACTGCGTCGACACAGAATCAACAGTTGTCTGAATATACATTCCAACTGCGCTGGAATGCTTGGTTAGCTGCGGACGAGACCAGCCTCTTCATGGGACCAACCATTCTCAACATCCAAGCATGGACAGTCTTCGCCGTCCATGGACAGGATCTGGTCACCCCCAGCCTCTGTTGGAACCTGATCAGCCAGGCCTGTCGCATGGCTCAGATGATCAAGCTCCCACTTCCGTCGGCATCTGCGAAAAGAGACAGCGATCTACATTCGCGCAACCTGTGCCTCTTCTGGAGCCTCTTCATCACGGAGAAGTCGCTGTCCCTCTCGTTCGGATGTCCTCCAGTATTGCCTTCCGCACTATATCGCAATCTCGAGCTCCCTTCTCCTAAACAGCTCTCGGCATATAGACCTCATCTGGCTGGCGCGGGAACAGACCGTCCGCCACATGTCGAGTTCTTTGGAGCATTCTATTTTGTCCAATGCACCAAGCTTGCCATGATCATGGGCGACATGTCGGATTTCTATCTTCTCAGCAGTCATGACCCTGGTCGTCTTCTGGAACTCAAGAAGACACTCGATCAATGGATATCTGTCGTCGAACAGGTGAGTAAATCCGATGAGAATGAGTAAGTAGTAACTTTGCAGAATGAATCCATGCATACCAATCTCGTCGCCGCAACCGACCCGGCCAGTGTCTCTATCAGAATTGGTTTCAATTCCCTCAAGTACCGATACCATCATCTAGTCGTCTGTCTGACAAGAGGTGACAAGTCTTGTCGTGAGACATGCCTGGACTCGGCGAGAGCAGCGATTGCGCTACTGAAGGGTCTCGTTGCTCATTCTGAGGAAGTGTTCAACGGCATTGTCTGGTAAGTCCGCTTTCTGACCGACTTTGTCAATGCTTAACCTTTGCAGGCAGCAGTTGTACTACCCATTCACCCCGTTCTTCGTCCTGTTTGGCACAGTCATCACCGATCCGACCTCCAAGTCCAGCATCGACGACCTCCAGCTGCTTCGGCAGACGGTGTTGTACTTCTTGGAATTTCAAAAGGACCATGCTTCGGCAGTGAAGCTGGAGAAGGTAGCAGAGACTTTTACCAAGATTGCCGAAGCCTATGTCCGCCATGTTTTTAGAAGGCAGAGTGGCATGGCTAGCAGCGATAGTGTTGGTGTCAACAAGTCACACATCCTCCCGGCCCAGCTTCGGAACGGTCCCTCGCTCTGTCCGACCACAGCGTGGCAGCAGGGGCATACCAAGACTGTGAGCTCTGACACTGGGATGGCAGACCAGATGGACTACCAGCTTCGGTTGGACGAGACCAGCAACCTCGACCCCGATTCACTCTTGCAACTCTTCTCCTACCAGGGGAACGAAACAAACAACCTGGGGAATTTCCAGTTCATCGATCATTCGGACACGCAAGAGCATGAAATCGGTAATTTGAACGATCGAGCCCTCGAAAACTACCAAGTGCCCGAGTCAGGCCAGTACGTATCACTGCGCGACGTCGAAATGAGCGGACGAAAACAATTCTCGGAATGCACATTCGACTGGTTCGCGCTGGAGAGATATGCCATGTAGCGTGGGGGTCGCAGAGGTATGCGCAGTTTAGATGATGTAGTTTCCTAGGAGGCCGCCATGGTTTTGTTCAGGGAGTAGGGAAATTTCTCGCCCAATTTGGCGGCCAGTGCCGCCGCTTTTGAGTAGTTTCTTCCTTCGATGCCCAAGATCGCTCCTCCTGGCCCCCTCTACCGTCCTCCCTCCCAGATCGACCCTCCTTCCCATGAGCCACGCAACCATGCAGCCCATCACTGGGGACTAGAAACAGCCACCCTTCAGATCCAGGATGGGATCCGTCCAACTCCTCGGAAATGATGAATGCCTTCGACTGCACTGCCCTGTCACTTCGAGGACCTGGAGCGGCTCTCCTCTCGGGTTTTGGTCAAATTCCCCTATCGGTACGCTCTGTCATTCTCCTAACATTACGCTATTCGTTACATTGCACTCTCGTGGGCGCCCGACGTGCCGTGCGGCATACCGAGCCGTTACTAGGCGCCCTAAACGGGTATACAATTGGAATTTCTTCTCAACTTGTTACCGATCTCCAAACCACAGCTGAATGCCACCTCGAGGAACCGGCGGGTACTGAGGGTGACGACATCGACGGTGCAACGGGCAGACTCTTCCATTCCATCGAAATTCCCCCCCCCCCCCCCCCAAGCTGTGTTGAACTCTTCAGGCATCGCCGACAAGTCCGACGACCTCGTCGACGCATGTCCGCGGCCTCTCGGCGCCAGTCTAATTCCAGGGTCAATATGAATCTCGGAGGTCGATCCCGAGAAGGAATGGGAATATCGCAGAGAATGGTGTTGGTTTTCAGGGTGCTCGGCTTCTCTCTACAATCCTATATTTCTGTATATAGGCTCGTTGTGCCTCTCGAACAGTCAGAATCAATCTTTCTCAAAATGTCAATTGACCTTAGAGACCATAACTGACACCTGTCAACAGGTTGTGCACGCCGTGTAAAAAGGTTTCAACAGAAAGCAAACAGATTAATGCAGCAGCCAAACCAAGAGCCCAAAAATGTAAAGTACATGAGACGCCATGTAGAAGACATCCGAAATCCAATGCTCCCATGCCGGCACTGAAACAAAATATCTCACATGTCCCAAATCCCATATCTCCTTTAGGCGCAGAAGCCAGCAGGGACGGTACAAGTGTCGCCGGTGGCAGCACTGCCGCAGTCAACAGTCGTCATGGAGAGACGAGAAACTTCATCTCCGGCATCATTCTGTAACATACTGACGGTGATAGACTGCAATGCGGCCACCTGCGACTGCAGAGAGAGAATCATTGATTTTAACGTGTCGATGTCGTCTTTGAGAGTTGAGCAGGCCGTTGCGTCCGAGGGGCTTATGCTACCTTGAATCTTCGCGCCGACGAAAGCCTGAAACGGGGTAACAATCGTGCCTGCAATAGTGTCTGTTGATGAATACATAACCTTAGTCAGTTTTTTGACGACCGGCGGCAGAGTAGATGGCATGACATTTGGAAGTCGATGAACGAGGGGCGGCGCAGGAAAGCGAACTTACTCGTCACCAACTGCTGAAAAAAGGGACCACTTGTCAAGAATTCCCAAGCGTCTCTACCGGATTGCTGCACCACGGTTCTTAATTTATCGAAATAAGGCCCAGCCACGTCGATCACGGTGACGGTCCCAGCCTTTGCTTTTCCGAGACATGTAGCCGTTGTCTGGCAGATCGCTTGAAGGAGATCGCGATCGTCTAGAACCTCGCGTGGTGTAATGGAGGTTGTAGTCGGTTGGCTGAGCCGGCCCATGTTATTCATCACATGGATATTATCATCCCATTCCTCTGGGAGGATGCCGACCCAGGTCCCGGGAGCTAGCTGGTGCCATCGATACTCGACTCCGTCGAAACTGGCCATCATTCCATGGAATGCCGCTGGCTCTTGAGCCCTGTCAGAGGACTTAGAGGTATCGGGTGTAATTGAAGCAGCGTTGAAGTCTTGACGACGCTTGTGGAACGACATATAGAGAGGAGGAGCCTCACGGCGTGTCTGTACGCTTGTATGAATGACTCTGAATGAGTGGTACGCGCCGACGAGGGCATTGTCGATGGAGATGCAGCCATCATCCGCGTTCGATAGCTCAGTCCCTGGGGAGCAGTCATTTGAGCTGTAGAACTGCACCATAGTGCCATCGTCCACAGACCCTGTCGACTTGACAAGGACACCTTCTGCAAGACCCCTAGCCTCTTTTTTTTAGCACAAAGAAAGTTATCATGTAGTGTCACATTGGTTCTCTTACACATAGTCCTGCCTGCAGCCTTGATCAGGCCCACCAATCCAGGAGTCAATAAATTCTCCAGCACAATTGCCATCGAGGTAGAAGTCGAGTTTGAAGGCTGAAGTTGAGCAGACAAATAAAAGTAGACACAACTGAAGAGCGTGTATGGCCATATTGATCGATCGATTTGTTCAGAGGATGAGAATTAACACGCATAGATGATATTTCTCCCTTTAATGCATTTAGGGAATGAGGATTCTAAAGTCTACGAGCAGCAAAGTATATATCTATAACTCAATACCTGGAAAAGAAGGGGCCGTCACTTGTTGAAGTCCCTGTTGACTAGGCAAAGCGACCTTTCGGACCCGGTTTCAACCAAGTCTGGCCTTGCTCTGGACGCTCCTGCGGCGCTTGCAATGAATGTGCCTTAGACTAGAGGCATGTTATCAAAAGTGACATTGGTGTAATTGCTTTCATTCGGGTCTGTCCCTTCTCTCTGTGTCCCTTGATTCCATGGGAGCTTGCTGGAATAATGTACACGATTATACGAACTCAAGCAATGCTAGTAAAACGTCGAGAACCTTTCTCGATAGGTATTCAAAGTGCGATGTCGCCTGTTAGGCACGCACCTTGGATGAGGTTGGAGAAAGCCGGATAACGGGTCGGAAACCTCAAATGGCTATAAATCGAACTGGCTCCAACCTCATTCTACATACAGAGTTAGCCTTATTCGAAGGCGACGGATTGGAGCGCCAAGCAAATTCTACTGCGGCGGGCGGGCGCTACAAGAAGGCCCTGTGTTAGACTAGTGTTAGCAAGAAGGTGTACGGCTGATCTGAGGATTGCCCTGTGGCGAGGTCAGCCATGTTTCGGCCGCCATGGCCCGGGGGGGTGGTAAGAAGAGATGACAGATATTGTGCTAAAGAGGACGGAGGTCGGCGTCAAATGAAGGATTAACGCGGGCGCCAGGCGGCACCAGCGCTTGGCGAAACCAAGAAACTTTGTGGCGACCTGTTACGACTTAATACACGGGGGTTGTATGAACTATGCTAGGACTGTAGGCTTGTATACAGTAGACAGGAACAGGCACCGTCAGACTGTATGGGCTGTGCCTTACGTACATGTGCCAAGGAGGCAAACAGTTACACCAGGCCCATAGAGCATGTCACGTGGCATACCTTTGCTGATTCCTCGTTGGCTGGCTCTTTTTGCGCATGATTGGCTCGTCAGACCTGCCCAAGACTGGTCCAGTCCGGGTCGCTCAAGGTGAGTTCGTAACACGACCTCACGTAATAATCTAGTTGATGTCTCTCGAACTGTGAGCGGAGATTATCAACCATTCTCGATAGAAAAACATCTCACCATTCAAAAACTGGCTGTTCACTACTTGATCCTCCATTGTGAAGAGCCCACCAGTGAATTCAATGGCCGAACTGCCTTACGACTCGTTCAGCTTCGTCCTGTGGTTAATCTGGTACTATCCAGGCATGATCGTCATAGCGTGCGTCCTTTGCCATGTGGCAGTAATGGCATCGGACGACGCTGCTACCAGAATTCCCTCCGGTGAAACCGAAAAACCCGATATTGTGACTCACAGCGAGATTCACACCGAACTTGGAAAGCCCAAAGGTTATTCGAAAGCCGATTCAAGCGTCGATCAAACTAGGGATCCAGACGAGACGTTTAATAGTGAACTGCCTAATGTTGATCAGCAATTGTCGTTAGAGCAAGACTCCGCGTTCAAACAAGGAGACCATCGTCGCTCACGCTCAAAAACGTCTTCGGGGGCACTTTTGAAGATAGCTGTCTTCTGGCAGGGGGTCCAGATCTGGCTCCTTGAGAGGATGGGACGTATGGCAGCAAGGGCGCGGGTCCAAAATGGAGGTTCAATCTTTGACTCTGTTGTTGTGCTAGCGCTCTGCACGACTCTCGTTTTATTATCAACTGCTACCCTTCAAGAGCGCTGGAATGGAGCTAGGAGTGGCGCGACAGCGACTGGAGCAGATCGGGGAACGAACATGAAGAATTCAAGGCCTTCATCGAGATTATTGTTGGCGGCTGCACTTCTAGTGCTACTACCATGGTATGAGTTGTTGACCGCTCAATATTCGCCATAATTCCGCACAAAGATTGTGGAGGAGTGGGCTGGTCTAGCGAAGATATCACGTCGCAACAGACTTGCGTTGGCCCAATTGCCTGGCTTACACCTGCCACAGCGATATCGGAGTTGCGGACTCACTGCGATGCAAGTCAGGAGGCGGCAAGACAGGCAGGATTTCGGGTATTCTATCGTCTATGTAGAGCCCGCTTAGTCGGACGTAGTGCGCCAGGGCAGAGACTCTCAATTTACTCAATTGACACTTGATATTTGCTATCGACAGTGTAGAGGACAAGAGTCGGCACCAAGAACAATTCGTGGTTGCACAAGGGGACATTCACAGTTAAGGTATACAAGGCTGCACCGTAGTCATGGCGGCACGATAAGTACTCACTGGGTAGTGCGATTTTCAAAGCACAGATATTTGATACAGAAGCACAAACAGCTAACTAAATATTCGGCGGGTGCTTTTGGCACTATAGATATGACACTGAAGCAAGAAATTAGCGGCTAACTGACTGTGACGGCAAAGACACGGAAAGATGAAGAGAGCATCCAAACTGTAATGGATTTCCTGATGAAGCAGGAGGGACGATATCCAGGTGGTATCGGAGGTCAGGCTCGACCGTTGCATTAGGGCAAACGGAGTTGAGAGAGAAAAACAAGTTAGAAGAGGAGAGGAGAGAGAGATGAGGATGGAAGACGAGGTTCTTGTAGCCGTCAAAAGCGGCGTTTCGCCCGGCTTGCGACCACTCTCGAAGCAGCAGGACCGCCTAAAGCGGAGGTGGAGTTCCCGGCAACGACTTTACATACATAATAGTAATCGACGCTCGCCACACGTAGATTATTGCGGTGCCGCTGAGGTGCCCGTGCGGCGCGTGGGGGCCAAGAGCGGCTGACCTCGACCTTTTTTTTCCCTTGTCTTGTCTTGCCACGACCCCGAGGATTTTCTACACTGTACTTCTTGTCCACATCTGCAAGCTCTATGCTGAGCTGAGAGAGTTCCCTCGACACACAAAAGTCACTCCGCGTTTCGGTTCGCAGAGATGGATTTCCTACCCACAATGCTGAAAGGCCGTCGCGCGGCGCCGGCGGTGGCAGCAGCAGCAGCAGCAGCAGCAGCAGGAGATACCACCAAATCAGACGCACCCGTCGTGGTCACCGCGTACTACGAGCAATACAAGACCGAGAACATCCAGACTGTTTTTCGGGATTACTTCCCCTCGGAGGAGTCCAGCCAGGAAGAAAGGGACGTGCTCCTGGAAAAACGCGTCGAAATCTCTAGGAAAGCCGAGCGCCTTCAGGCGGACAAGAGGGCCTTTAGTGCGGCCAATCAGCAGGCGTCAAGGGAGCGGCTGGGACAGGGTGTCAGGTGCTATGACTGGGCGTATGCCGTGCAAGACGACTCAAAGGATGCGGATGAGAAGAAGTGAAGGCCGACTGTGGAGAGTCTCTCACTGTGACTGTTGGTCGTCCGAGTTTTGTGGCTATGATGAGGTGACGGCCACACAGTGATGTTTATTAACTCTGTGTGTTCGCAAACTCGATGAAAGAAGAGTCGAAGTCTTCTTGGACAGCTCCCGTGGACGTCGTTATACGCAGCCAGTATGGACTTCCTGGCCTTTAGCTGGCCATCACTTCCGCCAGTGACATGGAGTATCTGGAGGCCCCTCAGGGAGCTGGCTACCTTCGAACATGAGCCGGACCAGACGCAAAAGAGTGATATTGATGGGCGCCGCACCCAGGATGGAGACTCACTCTGAAGTGATGTACAAGTTGCTGGTCACTGGCGATGACTTCTGAGCGCATCCCATCTTTCAATCGACAACGCAAGAAACGACACAGTGACATACCACGTCAGAGCAAACAGTCTCTCCTACCCTCTCATTTCTCCCTCGTCCTCCCTACTCGTCGCTCTCTACCCGTCTCTCTTCCTCTTATCTCGAACGTTTCACACAAAGACCCTCACCCTCAAACACAGTCCAACACAACACAACTACTTCCACAAAAATCCCAACTTCTAACAAAAAGTCGTCATGTCCTCCGAAGACGACTACGACTACACCCAACACTCGACCGCCAACACCCGGGAGAAATACTCTTTCCTCTACCCCATCGGCGCGGGCTCCTCGTCAGGCTCCACGGACTACTCGTCGTTCCGCGAAGTCGCATTTCTCGACCGCTACCGCGAGAACGTGTCCATCCCCCCGGACGGGTACGCGAGACACAGAGAGGAGAAGCGAGTCGCGAGCGCGGACAATGATCGCGCGGCGCGGGATCGGGAGGGTGTCGGCTCAAAGGGCAGGGATTGGGCCTACACAAAGTCAGACTGGAGACATTGGGATTCGAAGCGTCATGGTTAAGCGCCACGGATAGGTGTAGGGGCTGAGATAAGGGGCAGGCGGGCGAGTGTGTGTCTAGCTTTTGCTACGGGTGTCGTGGATATGGCGTTGCATCTCGGATGCTTTGCGAGTGCTGTCTCGAATACCTCTTTGCTTTTGGGAGAGGTATAGGACTGGAGGACTCTGTTATGGGCTTTGGGCTGTCATATAACAGACAGACAGGTGATATATATGCATGCATGCTTATATACATGCGCGCAGGGATACGTGCATAGACTACCTTGCTAGAGTGAGAGGTCGAATACATATCGGCCATGACTACGACTATTGCTCTGTCCATATTCTTTCCCCTTTTTGTTTTTTTCATTTGTTCCCCGGCCCAAGAATCAGATATGGCATTACTACAACCATGTTATACTTGCATTGCCTTTCTGGTTCGAGGGTTTCGGCGATAGTACTTTTCAGACACAGACACTGTGCTGAACGAACAACAATATCAGCGAAGAGATGTCAAAGATATGGAGAGGGTGATCTGTCTGTCTGTCTGTCTCGTCAAGGAAAGGGCAAGGGTAGAAAGGCAGGAAGTGAAAATGAAGAAAAGGAAAAGAAACGTCGAATCTCTCCTCTCTTCTCCTCTCCTCTACTTTGGTCTATACCTGCTATCGCTTGCTTGCTGGGGTAATGTGTATGTATATTGCCAGCGCCATGCTTACCTAAGACCAGAGAGTCATAACTGTCCTCGACGAATGTTTCTTCCATCTTTGAAGTGTGTCTCATGAATGACTGAATAATCCAACAAGTTCCAGTCAGCAACTGCGTTGGTGAGTACTACACTGGGGGACCCTGTGCTGGTGATCCCCCTATGATCGAGTGATGTGACAAGTGACCAGTGACCAGCGGGCAAAGTCTCTCCCTCGCCCCCCGCGACGCGCAAGAATTCTCAAGAGTCGGCATAGAGTGTTTTGATCGTGACGATTCAACTCCTCAGTTCCGCCATCGTTGACAGACTCCGTGCCAGGCAGGGTCCCAGGGTGCCAACCAGGTCTGAAGCGAGGCGAGGAGCAAACGAACTCAAGGTGATACAAGGAGATGAGATCTTCTTAAATATGCCCGTTTTCTTGAAGCATTCTTGTCTTGTCTACCTAGACACCTCATCGATCGGGTTGAAACGCAGACGAAAGAGATCCGACAGAGACACCACAAGACACCACGCGACAGTTTCCACGGAACAGACAGCCTCCTCTACATTCCTATCAAGCTATCCACCGATCGACATCCACACCAGCGAGATCTCAAGTCCCAGGGCGAAAAGAAACCCAATGTCTTCCAATTCCAACTCCAATATCCTCCCCAAATGGTCCACCCTCGGCGGCCCGCTCAAGAACCACCCCAACGCGACATACTCGTTCCCGACGCGGACCATGTTCAACGCCGACACGGGCACGTACGTCGCGCACCCGACGTGGTCCAACGACGCGGCGGCCCAGGACCGCGAGCGTGCGCGCGTGGCAGGGCGGGATTTTGCCTACGCGAGCGGCGACCCGAGGCATTGGGGGTCGAGGAATCACGGGGTGTGAATCACCAGTACTAACAACAAGGGCACTGGCGAATGGTATGAGGGTATGATCGATGCGATGGATATGAGGTGTAAACGAGGATATCAGGGTCAGGTAGGACAGGGGAAGCTCGGTCGAGTGTGCATATGAAGTACTCAGTATACCTCAGGTACTTCGACGGGATTAGATATCCAGGTCTCAGCGGGTCTGGAACGATGATATTACTGGTAGATGAATCCATGTTAGTCGCTCGCTTGCTGGTGCTGGTGCTGGTGGTGGTGTAAGACGCCATGATCAATATCAGAAAAGGCATCAGAGCTAGCGAGTGGCAAGATCCTTAATTATCGGTTCTCATGGCGGGGTTGCTGCTTTTATAGTCCCCCGTCACTAGCGCCCTTGGCTGGAATTTAAGCTAACGGTGTGCCCCTGTATCACACTAGCACTAGCGCGGATATAGTGACATGTGCGTTGAGGACATGCTCTCTCACACAGTCGTCAACAAGGTCAAAGTTCACTTCAACGAACTGACCGAATGGAGAGTGCGCACCCGTCTCATACCCTTCTTCCATCGACGCCTCCAAAGCGGAAAACGAGGACCTGAACAACTGCTAGATCCGCACACTCTCGAAAACGACGACAAACATCTTGTCCTAGTCCTTCTAGTCCTTCCTATTTCACATTGGGCGGAGACACAGCGCTGGCCACGACGATACTTGAACGACAGTGGCGGAACGACTTATTTATCGGCGAAAAAGACGTCCCTTCGTCCAAAGGAATCGGACCGCGAGTCTGGCGCGCCCAGCTCAACCACACCGAGTGACCTGAAGGACAGGGAGGACAAGAGCACTCCTTACCCATAGCCGCCCTACAGGGTGCTCCTCGAAGCGTGGGGGAGCTACACGGAGGAGCCCGAGCTGGACATCACAAACGAGGACAAAGCCCTCTCTGTCTGGGCTGTTGACCGAGAAGCAAACGACCCCCAAGCGAGGGTCATCCAAGATATCGCTCGAGTGCTCGTCCCGTCTGCGGAAACGCTGGCCACATTCGGCGCCCAACACCTCGACAGACTGGTCGAGAGTGTCGATGAGGGTCGGAACAATTCCATGCCTGTCACAAAGCCACGGCCTCAGCCAGACTACTCTGCGGGGTTCAAGCGCTCTGCCTTTACCGAGACTCAACTTCAGAAACTACAGCCCTTTCTGGGCGACCTCGCCGATACCTGTTTCTTCACGGGCACTTGGTACATGTACTTCCGTTCTTCGCCATCGAAGTCAAGTACGGCGGCGCTGCCGCGCTCGACGTCGCAGATCGACAGAATGTACATACCATGACGCTCGCCGTTCGAAAGGTGTCGTGGAACTATTCCGGCTCGTGAAGCGCGAGATAGAACTTCGTCGAAAGATCCTCGCCTTTTCCATCTCACATGATGACCGATCAATAAGGATTTACGGTCATTATCTTATCATTGAGGGTACAAGCACGACGTTCTACCGCCATCTTATACGCGCCTTTAACTTTACCGAGTTGCACGGGAAAGAGAAGTGGACGGCGTACAAGTTTACCAAAAGTGTCTATGATACCTGGATGCCCACTCACTTCCAAAGCCTTTACTCGGTAATCGACGTAATCCCATCTGATTTAAGTCTCGACATCTTCGAGGGATCGGATCTACAATTCCCTTCGTCCTCTGGACTTCCTCAAGATTCGGAAAGCCATCACCCTCTGGAGTCAGCGGCTACGGACGGCAACGTGGTGAGCCTATTAGAACCCGAGAATGACACATCTGGCAGCCCGCTGGCCAAGCCAACCAGCCAGCTCCAGTCGTAGCAGATGAGGTTTCTTTTGGAGTGCATTGCGCAGAGACCACAAGTGACTCAATGTGGAGTCGTAAGGTCTTGGGCGGCCCGTTGGGAAGCCACGCCACATTATCTCGAGGACGGTAACCAACCCCAATGATCAGTGCCCTTTCGTAACCAGTCATTTCATACCACAGATTTGTGTAAAGTCCCTGCATAGTTTCCTGATGCCACGTAAGCTACCGTTCAAATACATCAAAGCGTGGTGAGATTCATTATAATTTCCCGGACATTACTCTCGTCCCTTTCCTCCTCTTTTGATATCAAGCATGGAGTGTCACTGAGAGAAGAACAATCTGCCAACAGAATACCTGGACGTGCCCAGTCCATCTTCACTGGGTCTGATCCGCCCCATATAAGCACCGGGTGGTTGGAGGGACGGGTAATTGGCTGTCTGCGTGATGCCGGCATATCAACTCAAGACTGGGGTGTCACAGTGTCGTGATAAGCCAACTCCGTCGAGGACGCAACGGAGCCAAGGACAAATAATGAATAAAGCGACGTAGGCCGAACGCAGAGAACATCCACACGGCATAGGGCGGAATACGTATGGTATGGGATATCCGCAAACACCGTCAGCCATGCCAGACCACCCAGGAGCTATCCAAAGATTCCTGGATAGAACCTGTCCGGTAATCCCTCTCATGATTTGCTGCTGAATATTTGCTGTTCTTTTTGTCATCGCGGACGGGATCTGCGGACGTCGTTATTTTGCTCGAGGCACTTGGGTTTCGTGTGGGCCTTATTGGTGGCTGGCTGTTCACGTTGTCTAGGTCGTCGTCCTGAACTGATATCCCGTTTCTTTGTGTTTGGCACCAATTTGACTTTGGTCACCCTGGACGGACTTACAGGACCAAGAATGCTCTTCCCGGGAACTTGAGCGGCCTTTTTGGCGTGGAGATTCTGTAGTCGGGTGCTTCGACGCGGTGGCTGCGCGTCCCCCACAGCACTCTGAATCATACTCGGCTCTGGGTCGCTAGAACACGATGACTGTGTATTGTGTCGTCGACTCGGCTTTGTCTTGTCGGGTTTGGATATCCTGGACGAGTGATTCGAACCGAGGACAGACTTTGATCGAGCAGGATCACGCCGATGTGGTCGAGGACGCAGGTTTCGCGTCTCCTCATCTCTGGCATTCCACAAAGATTCGCCCAATGAAGGGTTCCCATTGTTGACAGGATGTCCGCATTCAGCAGCGATAGCTAGATATTGATCGTCGATCCACTTTACATATGTGGTCCACATTTTGACATCCAGTTCAAGCCCCCTGAGGTGACCTTGCGCAATTCGAACTCTTCTTTCGAGTATTATGAGATCGTAGCCATCACGGAGTCTCCTCAATTCGTCAGACCCAGAAACCGCTTCCAATTCCGCCTTGGCTGCGAAGAGTTCCTGTTCCGCTATCTCCACCGCTCTCGTGTCTGACCTGCTCAATGCTGCCTGCGATGCCTTCTCGGCTGATTCCACTCTCGACTTCGCTTTAGCAATCTCGTGTTCCGACGCGATAATATCATTTAGCCGGCCATATACGACGTCGCTATCGGCGATAGCATCGTAGAATCGTATTCGACCATCTGCCCACGCTTTCTCATCCAGTGCCAGTTCCTGCTTTGCGGGCTCAATTCGCCTCTCGGCCTGCTTGAGCTTTCGGAAATAGAAGGCTCGGAATTCATTCCAGTCCTCCAGTCGATCTTGTCGGTGTCGGTCTTCAAGCACTCGAAGGTCCCATTGGTGTGCTATTTCTGCCTGACTTCTTTGGATGGTGTTTTTATACTCTTGGAATCTGTTTCGCGGCACGTAAAATCTCCGCATCTGATCTTGAAACTGTCGGAACTGTTTCCATCTGTTTCGCTGACCGGTGTATGCGCATGAATACCCACAAGTACAGCGCCAAAACCAAATAATGTCCTTGTACTCCCCCGGTTCTTTCGGTTCGTCAATTCCAAAGCTAAGTGGATGAGATGGCCGGCCACCATCTGCCACCAGCTCTTTGTAGGATTCCTGTTCGACTCGCCAGCACTCCCGACTGTCTTCTTCTTCGTCAATCACAGGGGTGGCAGAGAACGAGCTGGAGCGGGAGTAGGGTTCGGCTCCGTATGAAGACCGAGCCTGATCTCTTTCGACGCGTTGATGGTACAGTTTTCTGATTCATAGAGCGAGTCAGCACAAAATGCACTTCATCTAAGGATAGGGGTCAATGGTCTCAACTGCAAATGTGCCAGAAGTTCGGCACTTTCATTCTCTGGGTCTCTGAGGTTGATAAACATTGCATCACCGAGACCCTCTACCGTCAGCTGCAGAGCCTCATGTGCGAATAGGTTAAGCTCCATGATCAGGGCATTTCTAGATGATCGGTAGCGGTAGGTGGTCAAAGGGTAATGGCAGAAGTGAGGCTGTTGTGGTGGCCAAAGCGTGATTGTTGAACAGTAATTAACGGGGGCAGTCACCAGACGTGGCAGGATACGAGGTGCTGGTTGGCACGTGGCTTGGCAACTTAGCCTGTGGGCAAATGCTAGTATTAGCTCAGGCACCAGTGCGGCACCGTTGTGGGGCACTAGAGCTGGTCTGGTCCCCGCCTTTCCAGCCTGGTTGTTATAACGGGGGCATGCTGCCTGGTCTGTCCAACGCAGAGAACAAAGTTCTCTCCCCGCCTGCCGTCTTGCCTTCTTTCAAAAGAGACATGGACGACATGAATACTTTCTTGACCCTCACTCCCAGAGACGAATTTGGTCTCGCTGCTGATGCATTCCGTCTGCCCCATAACAGTTCTCGATATGAGAGACCCGTCGCACTCCTAGATGACGGCCCGAGCCGTGAGACAACGCCTCAAGCACCGGAAGACGAGGGCACTCCTGTGGATCTGCTCGAGAACCACCACCGGATCCGTCTAAGTTTTGACCAGCAAACCAAAGTCAAGGGCCGGGTCACGTTTGGTAGTGACCCCGAGCTTTGTGATGTCCTGCTTACCTCGAGAAGAGGGCAATACAGAGTCAGTGGGCAACACTTCTGCATTACGTTCGACGCCGAAAAACGCCCGGTGATCAAGGATATCTCGACGAATGGCCTCATTGTCAGCTACGGCCGTCAGGCAGAACACGAGCTACGACGACACTTCCAGTGGATCATATTCCCTGACTTCGACACAATAACCGTAAAAATGTGGAAAAAGAATGGCCTCGAATTTGACGTCCATCTCCCCCGGCATCACAAGACACACGTGAGGGAATATCAAGAGAACGCGACGAGATACACGGCAGACGCCCCCCCAGAACACCTCGTGGTTTTCAACAATCTGGCTTTCCACAGTACGGAAACCTCATTAGCCGCGAGTGAGGACCTTCCGTCTGACAAAAGACCGCTGTATTTACGGCTTAGTATACTGGGAACTGGTGCTTTCGGACGTGTGTGGAGGGTAGTCAATGCCAGCACCGGAGCTGAATATGCCAAGAAGGAATTTTTTCGCCCTCAAGGTTGGGAGAAGGAGATTGAAATCATGAAAGAGCTCGTCCATGTATGGCACGCTATTATCCTTTTTCTGCGGCTGCTGATCTCTTCAGGACCATATTGTACAACTGATCGATTATGCGACGAACCCGGAGCCCCTCCTGGTGATGGAATACTTACCACTAGGAAATCTGGAAGCAGGTCATAAAGTTTCTCCGTTGGGCGACACCGACACGGTGAGCGTCCTTAAACAATGCTTGGAGGGTCTCGTCTGCCTGCACGGCCAGAGTATCACGCATCGGGACCTGAAGCCGGAGAACATTCTGGTGTTCTCTAGAACTCCAATCCACGTCAAATTAGCAGACTTTGGACTCGCTCAGAATAGACTCGACCTCAAAACCTTCTGTGGTTCTCCAATGTATGCGGCTCCGGAAATTTTTCTCGGCGGACACTACACTAACCGTGTGGATATCTGGTCTCTTGCTGTGATCGCGGTGCAATACGGCTATAACCTCCCTTTGTCGGAAAGTCCTGAAAATCCCGCGGGAGAGGAAACAGACCTTTATGAGGCCCCCAACAATGCCAAGGGAAAAGAAAGAGACCTTCGACTATGGGGCCAATCCTGGTGCTCAACTCTGATCATGTATGTAGGCGATTGGGATTCGGACCCTCTCATCGACTTCCTTGGCGACCACATGGTCAAATGGGAACCTCAAGAGCGACAGTGTGCGGCCAGATGCTTGGAAATAGCTTCAGAGATTGGTCTTTTCGACGAAATGTCTCCGCAACTTGGAAATTTTACCCCACGCCTTCAGTCTCATGGAGGACTGGAAGATATTGATCCGGAAGAAACATCGACCATAAGGGGACCATCGTGGCACGATACCAGTGCATCCGTGAGAAGTGGAGGCGGTACACAACGGCCGGAATCCTCTTCAGCCTGTAGTCATCAGTCTTCCGAACATCGAGAGAACTACGACACCAGGTCTACAAAACGTAGACGATCCAGCAGTGATGCTGAGCCAATTGGTCTCGATCAAATACCTCCGGGTTCTGAATGTGTCATGCCTAGGGAATCGTTGTGGGCTAACATCGGTACGTCAGTTGAAAATGAAATCAACGAAATGAGCGACTCCAAGATCGACAGACTCACATGCCTCGATGGAGGCACCCGTCCACTGTAGATCAGGGTTTATTCATGTTGGCGACATTGAACAGCAACACTGTTGTTGTTCGAAAAGTTGACTTCTTCGTCAATGCTACACACATTTGCAACACCGCCGGGCTATCGAAGATTATGCAGATTCTTGGACATTTATACTCGATTGGTGAAGCGGAGATCGTGAGGGCGTTACACATGGGCAGGAACTTACGTGAGCTTTGAGTCAGGAATACGTCTTTGCGAAGTGCTTCTTCAAACCGATGTGGCAGAGATTCTTCGCTATGTGGAATCCACCCAACAACGACCCGCATGACTGGTCAATGCCACTGAAGTCACAGGCACTTGTGGCCATCAGGACTGTTTGAGACCAAAACGGTGCTGCAGCGGCGAAGTGACACCGAATGCTATGAACGGACCTGCTCTGACAGTGTGTCATGGTTCAAACAAAATCGGTCGGCCGGTATGCTCGCCCACTTTGATGGGCTTCAAATTTTTCCGAGCCATTGGGCAACACAGAAGAGTTTGAAGCGCACCACCTCCCATGTGATGACAGTCTTCGAGATTGATCTATCCCTTCAACGATGATGGCCATCTAACTCATCATGTTGTGACAGCCCTCGAAGAACCAGTGAACAAAATTCGAGGAGGTTTGTCGATCATTCTCTGGGATCCGGAATCTCAACCATGCCATATCGGTGCCTCTCAACAGACCTTTGGGCAAATTACCTGAACCGTCCATCGGCAGATCATCTGTCAGGTCCCTTTTTCACGATGGCGACAAGGATACAGGGCTTTTATGCGGAGTCAAGGGCTGCAGTCACTCCACAGCGTGAGGATGCAAACGGAAAAAGACCGAGCGACGAATGATGAGACGAGTGAGGCAGAAAGCCAGCAGAAAAGTTGGGTCATGAGAAAAAGGACTCCGAAAAGCCAACGAGCCCTAGCGCCGTTCTCGTCGATTTAATACAAAAGTATAAGAATTGGGGTCGGCTCTCTAGAGTGGGGTTGGACCGCTTTTTTATCCTATACTTATAAGTAAGTTCCAACTACACAGAATTAAAGTGGAGCTACTGCATGACTGGGGATCAGGTCCACTTCTATTGGCCGAAAGGGCTATGTGGGGAGACGTGGCGTGGTAGAGTTACCCGAGTACTTTGTACTCGGCGAGGTCGGTAAACTTTACAAGTACAAGTACTAGGATATCTAGCGAGCAAACGTTCTGGATAAGTGGCACCACAGTCTGACGAGAAGGGAGAAATAGCAACGAGGAGCGGCGATTCACTAATACTTCAAAAGGTAACCATAACCAACCATTATCGGGAGGGGTCTTGATTCTGTCCTTTGGCATGATATGATGACATTCTCCCCCTAATCCTGATCGATAATATAATATTGGCGGTATTTGGTCTGGTAGGCGTTTTGTCGCTATTAAGTAACTACCCAACGTCCAAGAGGGTGTCTACCCGCTGTCAGAGTGTGCCAAGTTTTCTTCGTTCCAGAGGCTTGCATGCAAGCAGCAGAGTTGCTCCGGGATTACAATACATCCTTGACTGTCCGTCCAACATCCTCCCTTCCTTCTACAAGGTACAATACACTTCAGGGTGCTGAGTAACTTAACAGGGTGAATACCTGTTAACCTCGCATACACCGACATACCATCCGCGGCTTTTCTGGATAACAGCACTGTTTGTGCCCTTGTTTAACATCCCATGTGGATAAACGGCGCCCACTTCCAAGCCGCTGCGCAATTCTCTTGCCGACCTCGAAAATCTGTCACGGCACGGTGGAGCGCATGCGACACGGAGAACCCCTCCGAATCCATCTCCCGGGCCAACTCTGCGTAGAATTTCCCTGCAATGGCGACCGCGGCTGCGTCGTCTGCACCCCACAGCGTTCCAATAACGTGTCTGAAGCCGCTGAGTTGGAAAGAACTCGCCAAGTGGATGCTCTCGTCAACCAGATCTTCCACCTTCAGCTCCGCGGTCGAACATGCCGAGAGATACGCCAGTTCGACCCCGTCATGGATGACCGTGTCCAAATCCCCGAGGGCGAGGCGCTCTTGCTTCTCCCTGCCAAGAAGAAGAGCACTCTTCGCAGGTTCAACCGAGTCTGCAATGCCGTGACAGGCAAAGTGTGCTACTGTGCACGTCTCGAACTCGTCGAGAACTTCCTTCTTGGTAGGCTGCTCCAAGACTGTCGTGCACGCCCATGCACCAGTATGCTTCTCAATTGCCTCTGCTTCATCTGCAACGCTGAGCGTAACGTTGTGGTCTGGTGTGTTCGGCATTGAAATAACAAGGACTTTTGGCTTGAGTTTCCCTCGCCATGTTGGGGGTCTTTTTCTGATAAGCTGGAGTGTTTTCAGAGTCGTGACATACGAGGACACGACGTGGCTCAGCGTGTTCTCCGTTGATCCCTTGGAGTGGTCGCCAGCTGCGTGAATAGGGGCTTGTGCCATTATCCCACCACCCACCCACCAGATGTGTGGCAGCTTTTCGGTGGACACTGCCGTCAAAAGCCCCAATTTTGAAAGGACAGGCTTTACCGCGACTCTCCACAGGGTTGACAACTCGGTCGGAGCATCTGAAACGAGGTGCTGTTCTTGTTTTTTACCCCCAATAGAAAGCAATCCATCCCGTCGTGCAACGTTCCCTCTTGAAGCGCAGGCGTCAATGACTCGCCGAGCATTTGTTTTCCTCAGGTCAGGCAGTTCTACCACCTGTACGCCATGCGTAGTCACTAAGAACGCCTCACTGCTGAAGTCGCTAACATTAAATGAAACCAGCGGCCCGTCTCGAGCCAAGTCCGAGATCTCTTTCTCCGAAGGAGGTAGGAGGAAGTTTCCAAACCCGCGACATTGTCGTATCTCGTTTTGGATATCAGATAGATCCTTGAACAGCCGGCGGATATTTTCATCGTGTGTCATGTAGTCTCTCGGTGATGTTTCCAGAAAGCTGGAATCTCGAAACCTATTCGCAGTTGTGATTTGCTGTCTGACTTTGATATACCGAGATCGCTTGTCGTCATGCTCTCCGTCAAGAGATGATAAATCTGCTCTGAAATCCATCATCAGGCTTGAGATGATTCCCCGGCTCTGCTCGAGCGCTTGTAGAGCTTTGGCGGGAGATCTCCCAGCCTTCAGGAAAACAGAACCCGTCACCGACGCGAGTCCGAAGAGCTGTCGAAGGGTATGTTGTAGATCGTCCCGAGCACTGGTTGGTTGAGTGATCATAGGGAGCAAATCTAAAATCTGGTCTAGCAGCTGAGCGGCTTTGATCCAATTCTTCTCCGCTGCCAGATGGTACACAGCCGTTTGTCCCGCAAGTACGCGAGTCAGTGGAAACCCGCTTGACGTCCCAAGACAAGATTCATATGCCGACATTGCATTCCGCAGATCTTCCTGTCGTGCCTGGCCGTGCAACTCACATCTGTGGTGGAACAAACTTCCCAGATTGCTGTAGTACGTCGCAAGGTCCGGATTATCGTCGTCTGTCCCGTCGATGGCCTCTTTGGAATATTGAATCGCCTTGTCCAGATCGTCTGATCGGCCGTTGCATCGGTATGCATCACCAAAAAGAAGGCCCAGATTGTTCACGCGTGCAGCATAGTCCTGATCATCAGTCTTTGTTGCTTTTACTGCACAGAAAGTGGCATCAATAGCCCTTTCGAGGCATGATTTCGCAGCTTCAGTTGGAAGTTTAAGTGCCTTTCGTCGGAGGAGCTCACCAAGGTTGCTCAAGCGTCTGGGTCTATCCGGGTGGCCCTTCTCCGTCATATCTACAGATTCTTGCGCGTATTCAATAGCAGGGTCAAAGTCCGCTGCCTGAGAGTCTCTTCTCACAGATCTCTCGCCCAGTATGTTGGCTAGATTGCTCAAATATATTGCACGTTCCGACTTATTGTGGGTATTGGCTCTCACCGCGTGTTGCGCGAAGCCTGCCGCTGCGTCTAGATCTCCCTCTTTTGAATCGATTCGATGTCGGTCTCGCAGTAGAGTCGCAAGATTGTTCGAACGGGTCGCATACATTGGGTGATCATCCGGAGTCAACTGAATCGCTCGGTGGGCGTTCTGGACAGCCTCATCAAGATCAGGCTTTTCGCCTTTATTCGAAAATCGATCTCCATGGAGACTTGCCAAGTCGTTCAAGAGTCTTGCCTCGTCTGGGTCATGGGCGGGTGTAGCGCTGATCGCGTTCCTGATGTGCTCTATCGCTTCATCGATATCTGCGTCCTTCCCATCTTTCAGATACCGATCTCCAATAGCCGTTCCGAGACTGTTAAAGACTCTTGCTGGGATCAGATCCTCACGTGAGTAGGTGTCAATGACTTCCCTGAGATAGTTGACCGCTTTGTCAATGTCTGGCAAGTCGTCACTGATCAAAAACTTCTCCCGGTAATAAATCCCAAGATCATTTAGGAACGTCCGACGATTGTGCCTGTCTTCAGTCGCAGCGACAGCCTTCAGTGCATTTGTAATTGCATTGTCAATGTCACTCTCGTGATCAGTGATGTAGAACTTCTCTTTGAATAGGCTCCCGAGTCCACTGAATGCCTTCGCCTTAAGTGGATTACCCTCAGGAATATTATTGACGATCTCTTGCATGTCTTCAATTTCCCCGTCAAGGGTCCTAATGACCTCTTCTCTTTCTTCCATAATTTCAATCCAGTATGGACTCTGTATGGCATATAGGACAATCTCTGGCAGAATTTTGTGAACAAGTCCAGGCGAGGACGGACCCCAGGTCGATGACAGTCATGTATGAATTGAGATAGCTGATCACAAGCCATCGATGAAATGGCATGGTATACCATGATCACATTCGACTTCAGCCTGCTGCTGACGTGGCCCCACCAGAGCCAGGCATCCTCTCAGCCGGTTCATGCACCCGGACGGATTGGGGAAGCTCCCTGCGCGTGGGCGTTGAGCCGCAGCCCGTGGCTCTGAATCATGGAGTCCACGATAACAGGTGTAGGTAGGCGTAGGGAGTGATCTATTGGAGTTCTGCTCGGAAGTGAACCTGCAAGTGTGCATGTGTTTCCTGCTCTTTCAGACTTCATAGTTAGCAAGGCGTCGATGGCCCAATTGCACCTGCATACCTCCGTCGCGAAGACGAGGCAACCAGCCCAAGAGTTGTCCTCAGCAGAGACAGAAAGGCGTAGAACGACAAGACAAGAGTGGTTTCTCAATTCCAGAAAGTGCCTCATCACCTCCGCGATGCTAGAATTGTCACTTTCATGCCAAGGCTGTGACAAACTGCAGAGCAGCTGAAGTGATCAATTCAGTTCTGTTGGGGATTCCAGCCTCACTCGGATTACCCAGTGCCGCAGTCACAGACAGAGCCCGTTCGCACTGCCAAAAGACTCCCTCGTCAGTGGTATACTTCTCTCAAATGACAGATACTAAGCCTAGGGGGTGGGCGGTGTTGATCGGAATCAACTTCTACCGCGACAACAAGTCCTTGAACGGCTGCGTTCACGATGTCACATCAGTCAAGGCATTCCTGGACGAGAGCGCGCCTCACATTGATGCCACAGTCTTCACGGCGAGTCAACCTTCCGACCCTGCTGCTAACGTCCCTTCGGAAGAACCTGCCCTACTACCCACATACGAAAATGTCACTCGCGAGCTACGGAGGATAAAAGAGCAAGGAAGAGCTGGAGATACAGTATACATTCATTACTCGGGTCATGGGACAACAGGTCGGACTCCCCTAACAAATAGCCAAGATCCACATCTTGAGACGGAGGAGTTTGCGTTGGTCCTGTATGACGAAGCTCACGGAATGAGGAAACTTCCGGGAAGTGAGCTAGCAAGGCTCTTAAAGGCAATGGTGGACAAGAGCTTGGTCGTCATTTTAGTTCTTGACTGCTGCTTCTCTGGAGGCGTCACCCGAGACGGATCCAGGCGCAGACCAAAGGTGAGAAGTATAGACTACGACAACAGTATCGCTGCTACCTATTCCTCCCTTCCTCACAGGGGCCAGGGGCCTCTTCGTGATGGCAGAATGGCCCCTCAGTGGTTGATCAATCCCGAAGGCTATGCCACTCTGTGTGCCTGTGGACCATACGAGACTGCTGAAGAGTTTGAGTTCGATGATGGAAAGTTTCATGGCGCGCTCACACATTTCTTACTCCGGGCACTCAAGGCGTTGAGAAGGTCGGGTGTTGAGATGGATACCCAAGCTCTATATCAGCACATTTGTGCTAGATTTCATGCTTCAGTACCTCACCAGAACCCTAGACGCTTCGGCAACGAGACACTCTCATGGTTTGGAAAACGTTTGGTCAATGCCGACAATGCTTTCAGCACTGTTTTCTTCCCCCAGGAAGGTAGCCAACTGTGCTTACGAGCTGGCTATGCGCACGGCGTTCAACGCGGTGACGAGTTTGCACTTTGCCCATTGACAGAAGCACGCAATGCAGATCCCAGATCGGACAGTCATATTCGGGTCACTGCGAGTCTCGTCCGCGGTCTCACATCGGACTTGGTGTCGTCCGCCCCAGACATTTCTCTTGGTAGGGTCAAGTCGGGCTGGGTGGCTATGCCTCGCACTCAGCTGCGGCTTCAGAATACTATGATACAACTCAGCCTAGAGGACAACGATATCAAAACGTGGCACCAAAGGTCTAATCCCAGAACGTTTCTCAGATTTTGTGAAGACGATCTGGGCGGCCAACCTTGTGCATTCAAAATCCGCGTGAACAGTCGTCGTGAGTACGAAGTCACAGACCAGTCGAGTCAGCCACTGGTGTGTCTTCCAACTGTGCCCTGCGGCAGAGACGACGCAATAGATGTTGCCATCAGCATCCTTGAGCATGTCGCGATTTACAAATCAATTGAAGCAATCGAGAACCGCCATCCAATGCCACCATTCTCTGAGTCGTTCTCCATTCAACTTCAAACCCCAGAGGGAAAGTGTGCGGTAAATGCCGGCGTTCTCGACGTCAAAAATAAAGATACGTTGACAATCAAGGTTCAAAACACTGGCAAAGTGTCAATATACGTCCATCTGCTCGACCTGCGCCCTTCTTGGAAAATCGTCAACATGATTCACGACGACGGCACAGACTATATCGAGGTCTGTGGAAGGAGCGAAAATCGCAACATGACGATCGACATGATAGTGCCAGACGACATTGTGGCACAGGGGCGGAAATACTGCGAAGATGTTTTTAAATTCTTTGTGACAAGTGAAGCAACCTCGATCGACCGGCTGTCCTTGAAGCAGCTCCCGAAATCTGCGGACGACGTTGGTTCCGGCCTGCGTGGAGAACAGGACACCATGTCGACCTTTCTTCTCAGGCTTACTTCGCCCATGCGAGGAGCTAGAGCAGGGGTTTTGTCCGAGAACTGGCAGGCCTTGAACTTTGTCATACGCACCACTATAGATGAGGAGTCCGGGGGGGTGTAGACTGATCTGTCCGCCTGTGGTCTCTTGGAGGCGGAACGGCTGGGATTTACGTCTCGATATGTTATTAGTCCTAACAAGTAATATCCTCGCGCAGTCCGGTTACCTGGTTCAGATCTCATGGAGCCAGCAGTGGAAGTCTTGTCCCTGTGTAGTTAACCTGCATCCTGTATTCTTGGTAGAGAGGTTTCTGAGCACGAGCCATAACCCCACATATACTCGGCCTCATTACTATCATCCTCCATATCTTCGTTCTCCCCTGAGGGCCGGCAGAGCATGAGTCTGTCTGTCTCGTCTCTCTGTCTCCTAAGCAGCAGCATCCTCCAGATCCGTCTCGCTGACCGCCTGGCCGCCATTGACCACCTTCCCGCCCTCGTCCACGAGGATGTACTTGCCCTCCCCGGCCGGTGAGCGCACGGTGTACGGACCCTGACGGACACGGGGATTCGAGCCCGGCACGGTGAAATAGACCTGGTCGCCTGGTCGGTACTTCTTCACCTACCCCACGGCGGAGCGATCAGATTTGGAAACTTTTCGAGAAGACTGGCTTGTCTGTCTGTCGGTCGGTCGACCGGTACATCAGAGCGAGACAACTCACCAAGCTATAGGGCTTGATGTACGGACGACCGCCCGTGTCGGCGACGCGGAACCTGGGGCTCTCATCCCTGCCCGCACGCGTGTGCGACTTGTCAGAAGTGCGCGTGCTGGGAGTGGACATGAGGATCTGGGGATCTGAGTGCCAACATACCCGGATTGTTGGGCGTCCATATCGAAATCCTCACAAATGGACCGAGTTACTAAACTCCTATGTACAGTATGTACAGTATACTGGTGGTCTGGTCCGTTGATGATAACTTGAGAAATGATCCGCGAATCGCACGATACGTACTGGGTCCGTAATGATCAAGGTGGCGGCAAGGTATGACTGCTCGGTACCTATGTAGATGAGGCTGAGTCCTAGGCAGCGAAAGCGAGGCAGAAGAGAATGAAACAAGAAAAGGCAAACGAGCCACTCCACTCGATGTACTTGTGTACATATATACCAATCACACACAAACATGTCTCCCACCTCAGGTCAGCCGACCAGCTAGCAAGCTAGAGCTGCCTGACGCTCGACCCCCATTTCCCTCCAATCATCGGAATAATCGTGGTTGCGTTACGGCCTCACTCTCTTTCCCTTTTTCCCTGATCTCTCACCAATCAGTTTCGACTCGGATTTGCTGGCAATTTGCGCAGTTTGAAAGTTTGCCTTTGCCTTATCAAGCAATCATGACTAGACTGCGTTTAGGAAAAATTAGTGAGAAGAAGAGGGAGAGAAAGGAAAAGAGCGTCAGAACGAACAGCTGAGCTAGGCTTCTGATCAAGAGAGGGGTCAGATTCGCCCGTATTACCGCCGAAAAGAAAAGGCAGTGATCAAAGACAAGATGAATGGGATGGGGAGGATCTTGACAGGCTGGATGCAAAGGTGGTCTCTGTCTCTGAGACACAATACCCAGGCTGAAGACTTGCCTGATCGGCAGAGTAAGTAATCCACTGCTCCCTTCGAGGCGCCTCTTTCACAACGACTCGTTTCATTGTGAATGAGATGGGGATGGTGTGTATAGAGTGCTGATAGATTCTCCCCGTCTTCAAGTCGAGGACTACCCTCAGGGTTATCCGCGGTTCTCTACCCTAGTCGCCACGCACAACGCCTTCCACGTGTACCGTCGCTTCTCGACCCTGCGGGCTCGTCTCCTCCTCCTGAAGCAGGACAAGTTGGCCGCGCTCGAGAAGCAGCTTGAGATGGTCGACCAGCAGGAACCCAACCCGCTCTTTCTCGCGAGCTGCAGGCGGGACAAGAACGTGGAGCGAGAGGCCATCTTATCACGCATCGATACCGCTTTGGTGGATTATGGCAAGTTCACACCATTTTTGTTTTCTCACCCCTCCCCTCTTTGTCTCGGGACTTTCGGAGAGGAAGCTTTGCTAAAGAGGGAGTGTGTGGTTCAGATTCGATGATCGAGAGGAGTCGGCAGATCCTGTCCCTCGAGCCTGCCAAAACCCGGGACATTTCGAGCTTGGATCATTGGGTCGATGGCAACGCTTGCTTAGCGAGGGACGAGACAGCATACCTTCTCCGGCCCAGGGACTTGGTGAGCATTGCACCGTTGCCAGACGACGCTGTTGCCCGAGTCGAGTCCTGGCTGGCGGATCGACTCATGCACTGTTGGAAAGATTTTAGAGAGGTGAGCCCTCGTCGAGGACAAAAGCGGCTTGTGTAGACAATAACCGTCTGACCCGCTCATTTGCTTACCTACAAGGACACTTGTCCCGGCTTAGCTTCCATTCCACAACGTCTCGAGGGATCCCAACGTGTACATCTGTACCAGCTCGGCGTTGACACGGGCGACTCGGTTCCTCATTGCCGTCCTCCTGATCCTTCTCCTGCTCATCCCCATGGTGATTTGCAGCGCACAAAAGAACATGACGGCGCGGATCGTGGTTGTCGGCGTCGCGGCCAGTTTGTTCATAGCGATAGTCTCCGTCGTTATCAAGGCAAGATCCATTGAGATTTTCATGGCTGGAGCGACGTACGTGACATCTTTCCATCACTGCACTCGAAAAACAAAACCCTATGGTCCACATTGGTCCATGCTGTTCATGGCTGACTGTGACTGGTTAAAGATATGCCACTATTCTGGTTGTTTTTGTTGCTGGCACCAATGCAGGCAGCAATTTCTGAACAACTTTTGTCAGTTCGCTCCTGGTCGATTTTCGGTGTATCGGCAATAAGTAGCAAGTCTCAAATATCGGGAGAAAATGCTTCGAGTCTCTAAATACCGAGACAGGTCTTCTCATGCAAGAAATGCTTTTTACCCAACTCAGACGTCTCTGATGCTGGTGATGGCCGCCAAAATAGCAATCGCCACTTGATGCGCTGGTAAGTAGATTTCCTTTACAAGGTAGAAGAAGCCCTCAAGGAATGAGGCGAACCGTGTTAGGATATACTCACCTCCCGCAGTCGTGACAATGTATGAGGAAATGGTCCACGCTGTCTGGGTGATGGCGACCGGGTCAGACCCCGGTTCCCGCGGCTTGTACATGTACCAGAAACCAATGACCAGACTGAGCAGCAGCGGCGTTGCGCTCCAGATGAGGATCTTCCGAATCGACCACGACAGGACCAGCTGGAGCGCATATCTGCCCCTGTCCGGGAACCGGTCTCCCTCGTTGAAGAAGTGATGGATCCAGCCTCGCCACATGTTGTCCTTGTCGTGCCAGTCGTGTCGGTAGGCGGTGTACAGTTCAGCCAGCGCCGCCTCGGTCTGCCGGTCGATTTCTACGGGAGTGTGGTAGTCGTCTGCGGGATGGCATTCATAGATTCCAAACCTTCCCACATGTTTTAGCGAGAGCAGTCGGTGGTGCAGAGGGCGCAGTTTCCAGGCCGTCTTTCGGATCCCTTCAAAGAGATCGACGGGCTTGTCGCCCTTTGACAACTGTACCAGCACCTCGCGCTTCAGTCCTGTCGGGTTATCCTGGATGCCGACCACGACATAAGCGCCGTCCTGCTCCTCTATGGCTCTCTGCGTCATCTTGGGCCGGGTTCTCATCCCATGTGACCGCGCGCATTGCGACACGTGCTTTGTAAGCTGGGCCTTGAGCGAGCTGGACGTTGAACGGGTGAGCCTGGACGGATTTTCCTTGCGTTGGGGGCGGGGAAAGTGTAGACAAGTTTCAGAGTCTCCTCGATCGATCTTTTCATCCTGGGCGTCGATATGGAATGGAAGTGGCTTTACTCCGGCCACCGTCGGGTCTTGCTCTTCCTGGATATCCTCTGTCACGCACAAGCGTTAGCAGAGACCATGTGTCAAGAATCGTGCTGTGGTAGAGAGGTAGACCTTGCGCTATCCCCGCCCTCCACATTCTGACTGACACTCTCTTGAACTTTGGAGGACGACACCGAAAAGGTTGACTTTGGTTGGATCGGTAGGGGGGACTGAACACCACAGCAATTCTTTCTTGATGGTATTTCAGGAATCAAAGAGACAGTAGTTGGACCAAGTCAAGCATTGTCAGAACCATCATCAGATGAGCCCTGTGTGGTCGAGCGAACTAAAAGCCATTGTGCGACCGTGCACCGCTCTCTTTGGTGCAGGGCATGGACTACTCGCTACTGGGGGAGTAGTTGAGTAGATGGTCATGGGGCACTAACGAGCGACTGTTTAGCTGCAGGCTGCTGGCACCTCAGGCTTGACTACCTCGTACAGCGCGTTCAAACATGGAACCATGGTCTCAGGCCCCCCAAGCTACTCCCCCATCGTTGTCCATCACTTATTCACACGTCAGGGGGCTCGGGATGATCTTACCTACCGAGTACTCGAAGGCTCTGTGGCACTGAAGTGTGCAATCACCATAATGCGAGTGTCTGATTGAGTAACGCAACCACTCGTGCCACTGTCGTGGCCAAGTGGCCTAACGCCGCCCAGCTGCGGCCCGTTGCGTGATCTTGGTATTACGTCACTACGCGTAGGAGACGGGTAAAGCTTGGCTGGAAACCACTCTGTCTAGCCCCTTGGCAGCCTTGCATTCCCAAAATCTTGAGATACTACTAGGTGAATAGGTGGTCAAGTAGCCGAGAAACCACTTGTATGTGCCAAGCAGACAGGCAAAGATGAGGGGTTGTTGCGAGATTGAGGGGGTATATCACTCTAGCGAGAGAGGGAGACCACTTGTCATGTACTCGGTAGTGGTCAGCGAATAGCGGACCAGTCGACTCGACGTCTCTTACAGAATCCAGCAGAGGACAAGCCCAGTCCGTCAATCTATCGTATTGCATACCATCTAAGGTTCCAACCAAGCAAATGATCTAAAGCTCATCTTTTACAAATACACTTGGCTCGGGCCTTCCGCTATCCTTCAACAAATCCACGCCCTTCTTCTTCCTCCATTTCTCCCACACGGCCCAAAACTCCTTTTCCATCCCCGTCTCCATCTGATCCGGCAGCACCACCACATACTGCACATACAGATTTCCAAAATCGGGGGCATCATGATCGTGTTCGTGAACGTGTCCCTCTCGATAAATGGGCATGCCTTCGCCCTTGATCGTGTCGGTCTGGCCAGGTTGAACGACTTCGCCGCGCTTGCGGGACAGCGGGACAACGTGCCCGTCCAAGTGCGTAAGGTTGCGAGTCCACTCGCCCATCCACGCCTCTCTGAGTGAGAGAACCTCTTTCCAATATAGGTCGTTGTCCTTCCGCCGGAAGAACACTCCATCAGTTCGCTCCGCCTCGTTCTCGTGGATGCCTGGCTCTGTCTCCATTATGTAGGCGTAGAGGTTGCCCGCAATGTGGTCGGGATGTTCATCGGCTTCACTTTCAAAGACAAGTCTGTGACCCTTGGGCATTCCCTTCTCGATCACAGCAGTCAAGGTCGTGGGGCCTCTGACGACCTTGTTTCCTCCGCAAACCTTGCATTTGTGTTTGATGCTCTTGCCCTGTCCCCCGCACTGGTCGCATCCCATCTGCACTTGTTGATATATTCCTGGTGCGAGCATGTGCTTCTGGATGACAATACCTCGACCGCCACATTTATGACATGTCTCGACTTGGCCGTCCGCAGAACCTGACCCTTCACACTCATCACAGATTTGTTGCTTTTCGATTGTAAACTCCGTTTCTCCACCGGTGTAGAAGTCTCGCAACGGTACGTGCAATCGGACTTCTAGATCAGGCCCCCGCCGCACTCCACTGCCGCCTCCACGACCAAAATGGCCTCCGCCACCGAAAAATCTGGAGAAAAGGTCGAAAGGGTCGTGAGGGTGACCACCTCCACCCCCTCCTCGCTTGTGGTTCTCTAGCCCTTCATGACCGTACTGATCGTATATCTTGCGAGTCGTAGGATCAGATAGGGCTTCATATGCTTCTGCCACCTCCAGAAACTTCTTCTCGTCTCCCGTGGCCTTGTCTGGATGGTACTTTTTGGAAAGTTTTCGATAAGCTGTTTTGAGATCACGTTCTGAGCAAGATCTGTCCAACCCAAGGATTTTATAGAGGTCTTCGGCCGCGAGCGAACATGTGATGAGGGCAAAGAGAGGGAGAAGACGGGAGATGAGACGGAGGAGGAGCATGGTGAGCGGCTTCGCCCTCGCAGGGGCGGAAGGACGGGTTTGTCAGGCGTTTCAAAGCGCAGCAGCACAATTCTATGAACTCGGCGTCATAGTGTGAACAGTCTGAAGGAACTCGGAGAATGAACCAGGACTAGGTTTGCGCTTGAGCAACGTGGCCGGACAATTTCGAGGGACAAGTGTGGAATTGGAGGGTTGATTGATATGCACATGCGGCCAACATGTCCATCTCGCGAACAGCGTGTTTGGCCGCATTCTCCACCGGAGCCACAAACTGCGCAATTGGATCTTTTGTTCCTCTGAACCGATCCTTGTGCTTTTGCTGTCGCTTGCTGTGCTTGCTCGAGGGTCGACTACTTCTCACCTCCATACACAGCAGGAAGGGTTTCGGTGTGCCACATCATACTCGAATAGGAGAATCCTTGTTGATTCCTGGCGAGGCCATTCGATAGAGGCCAATCCCCAAGGAAATGAGAGTCCAAGTCTCTTTACCCAGTCAAATTCATCTCCCAATTCGTCCTTGTTTCCATCACCAGGGTCCTTAACGGGAGACATGAAGTCTGTCAGGGTTCAAACATGCCCCTGAAGACAGGTGTCTGGCGAGAATTCATGTCAACCTCGTGGGATTGACCTTATTAGCCACATTTTGAACCGATCCAAGGATTCGGCAATGTACCTATGTAAGTACCTTCTGCCAGCTAACACCGGCTGTGGGGAATGGCGATCGAATTATGCATGTTCCCAGGTCATTGAGACAGCAGCCGCCTCGTCCGTCTTCTTGCTTGATAGGGAGTGGCTTTCCCTGGAGCTGCAACTACAACAAGCAAATCGGCACAGAGAAAGCAGGAGGCTTCGAGTTCTAGTCCAACCAACGACTTCTGCTGCGAGATCTTACTGCCATCACCCTTATGCTGGCTGTCTCACAGACTGCACAGTCGATGGGAGACATCTGACTACTTCCAGGCTCTTTATCGAGGACTCGTCATATTGTGTTGCCCCAAGAGATGGTTGTCCCGTCACGAACGTTGTCAGTATCAAGAGCAAGGTCGCGTTGTTCTGCTGGGTATTTGAATATTGCAACCCTTGGACGAATCTTGTTGTGCCTCCAATAACACGGTGTGGTGCTGTTGGACTATTCCTTCCCTACGAATGGGTGCACAAGAGCTGTCAAGGTATAAAGACGGTCCTCCGCTTTGAATTTCAAGGAAATTCCTACGCTACACGGCTTACCAGGTGCGGCTCCGAAGAACCGAAGTTCTTCATATACCTCCTAGCACCTTCTCGAACGACCTTCTGATCTTCCCATTCTTCCAGCGGCTATTGAACATCACTTGATCATCGCTATTCACTATCACGATGCGCACCTTCGAAGCTTGCGCTCTCTGGACCCTGAGTCTATTGTTAGGCAGCAAGATACTTGTCACTGCGCTCCCCACCTTCGATTACATGTGGACCCATGTGAGGAGTGAACGCTTCTACAGCAGCAGTGGCGAATGTCGATCAGATGAAGAGGGTTGCTTTTGGCCAGGGTATGCTCTCTTCCTGCTATGATTCTTCCTGCAAGTGGCCAATGTATAACATGGCCAGCAGATTCATCCGCCCAGCTGTTGAACCCAACGAGGAGGGTGACCCGGCGGTGAGGGCCCCCGCGGCTGTGTATCCACATGACACAACTCTAGCTGCCACCGCTACCGACGACAACACCGCTACTTCCTGTACACCAAGCACCGAGACGGCACTCACTGCGGCCGCGGACCTGAGGTTCCAACGCCGTGATGAAGACACAGAGGTCATCCCCCCTGCCGTCCGCTCTCAGGAGACGACTCTCCCTCCTGCCAACCCCACGCCGTACCCGTGCACCGGGCTTGTCCAGCCATGCGAACCGGGCTACAAGGTCTTGCTGTTCAATGGCCTCTGCATCTGCTATTATCTCGGACCTCGCGGTGAAGCGAGGTGAGGTGAGAGGGCTGTGGTCCCAAAAGTCTGGGTGGGCTCCTCCCTCGCGCGCACGGAGCGGACTATGCGGTTCGAACCTTTTTGGCGAGGTACATTACATTTCACCCGTTGTGTTACCCCCCCTTTTCTTTGGCGAGATTCCTTTCGAGAGGTGGTGGTAGCAACTGGGTGGAGAGGGCGGGGGGAATTTTGGGCCGCGAGTTCGAGTGTGATATGAGTGTGTGTACCTGACAGATGGCGAGAGGGCGAGGGTCAGAGAGATATCAAACACGTTCACTATTATCACTAGGTACGAAGCAGAAAGATTGGTCTGGTCTGGTCTGAGCTGAGCGAGATTGATTCTTTGGTATGGTATCGCATAGCATGTGATGGCAGGGCAGGGCGCATGAATATCCTATTTTGTACTCAGACTCAGCACTCACTCACTCACTCACCGTCTCTCCGCCCCATGGATTCAGGGTTTTGTATTTTGTATTTTGTATCTTGCGTTCTATGTCTCCTTTTCCCCATTCCATACCTAGGGTGCTAGGTAGGTAGCCAATTATATCTGTCTATCAGTCCATCTTGGTATCTTATTATCTTGATACCTCGATACAAATTTCTTCACTCGAAAGGGACTAAACGTTTTCTTAGGTTGAGGCTCAATCATCCACGTGAGCAGTTGTCCGCGATAAAACTGTTATATCTTGGTGCCTTGGGCAGGTAGGTACACTATCCTAAACACTTCAGAGCTCGTGGGTCGTGTCCCAAATTTTGACTAGCAGGTACCTAGGTAGATGTGTGTTGTAATGTAATGTATTGTACATAGGATGTATCTGTCGCGAGTCTCGCCGGCGGATACGAGAGTCTATCTTCTTCACGGGGTGGCTGAGGTCCCCTCATACAAAAGCAGGATATTACAAGGGAAGAGAGACGCTCTTAAGCAAATGGTCAGACAACCCTGCTGGGTAAAAGTACAGCCAAATCCTCAAGGAGTCTCGTTCACGCTCTTGCTCCTCGCAGCCACTAGCTGTTGGAGGTGCTTCTGTTCGGATTGATCAAAGGCCCAAGGCGCCGTCTGGTTGTTCACAGTCTGGAGCAATTCCTCCCACGTCAATTGCCCAACTGTTCCGACCGCTCTTCGCAAATACGCGACGACGAGAGACACCTTCTCCCAATCCACTTGTTCATCTGCACGATATAGATTTCTCCATACTGCGCTTGCGAGAACCGTGTCTCCCTTGATGAGGCCTTCGTCGTAGGACGCCAGTATCCCCCGATATTGCAAAAACAGGTCCTTGAGGTACCGACTTCGGATCCCCTGAGCAGCAAGATTGTGCAATAGTATCATCTTGTCCTCTGCAGCCCTCGAAAAATGCTCGATCAGGTAGCGGTGATAATCCTGATACTCGGTTTCGGATTCAAGCATCGCCCGCAGATTTGTCACGACAACATACATGTGCAGAAACGTTACTTGCGACCAGGTCGAGAAGGTAGGCGGCAAATCAAGAGTACCGAACCACCATGAGTCCTTGTTTTCGGGTAGAGGTTGTCCCAGTTCGGCCCCCTCTTGTGCCGTGGCCTTTGGCGGTCCCTTTCCCGTGAGTATATTCATTCGTTGCTCCTGTGGAATGGTGTAGTCGGCAGGTGCTGCACAGAATTTGAATATCGCTTCGGTTTGGCCATAGATAGTGTAGGTCCTTGTCGCGGCCGGCATGTTTTTCCTTAGTGATTCGGCAAGGCGGGTAGGGAGACTGAACCTGCTCGGAGGGTTGCTGAGGTGCGATTGGATTTGGCGCTGCATCTGTGACACGCTTACACCGGCGCCGGGGAGGGTGGGTTGTGCAGATGATTTGTCTTTTGGTTCTGGTGGTGGTTCCGACTCGGATTTGGATTGGGGTTCGTTGCTGGGGAACGATGCCGTCACATTGGACGTGACGGTAGGGGCTGTGGTGGGTGGCAGCGATTGATTCATTGAGGCCTCAGTTCCGCTTCGAGCAGTTTCTTGCCGCCATCTCGAGGAAGTGGACGACAGATAACGTCGCCTGGGAGGAGAGGAGCTCTGAACTCGTGGAGTCGGGGAAAAGGGCTGGTTCACTTTATTGTTGGAGCAGGAACTCAATAAGGGAGTGCAGCGGACATTTGATTCTGCTCTGACACTTTGTCTCAATGCTCGAAGGCATTGAGAGCATATGCTGAATGTGCTCATCGTGCCGGGTTATAGCAGGGACGAGATGGTGGTGCTAACAATCGAGACCATTGTGACAAGGTCTAGAATTTCACCTCTTCGCGTCCGCAAGCTCCAAAAATTGAGCGCGTCATAGAGCACGATATGGAGATGCGTCTGACGACAGGTAGTGTTTGGGAAATCACGGAAATTCGAGAAATGCTCCGAGATTATTCTGTCAGACAAGTTGATTACATTTCGGTGACCTGATTGGGCGGACAGATCTCACTTAGTCATTGAGATTGGCATGTTTGCACACTTTGCTACCGCGTGGCATCAGTCACATCTCCTGCGCAACAATTCGCCGCTCGGATCTGGTCAAATTTCCATCCTACCTCCCTCGTTATACCTGGAGCAGCTAGATTTTCGCCCCCCTTTCGCCCTTCACATGCTGGCTGCTCTAAAATTGGAGTTGCTGACTGACACTGGACCCTTTCTCTTCGGGCTCTTAAGCTGAAGCTTTCCTATGCAAGTGCTTACCGAAGCTTGTCTGAGAGAAAGCCTCTCCATCAATCGCTTACACGCTTGCAGCCCCCGAGCTGAATTAAACTCTTCCAACGCCCCCTGCGGCGCTTGATCGTACCTGAATTTCCCTTCTTGGTCATCGTCTTCCCGCCGTGGCTCTATATGGATTAACCTCGTTCCATCCCCGAGGACTGGAAGAGACACGAAGGATTGAAGGACACAACTGATGATCCTTGAAAGAAAAAAGATGAGCCATGTTGCGCGTTTGCCTGTTACCAGTTTGCGATGAAGGCCTTTAGAATTACCGAAAGGTTATCAGTCCATGTGGCTGAGGATGATCCTCAGCCGGGGTCAATGTTGCCCGCTTTTGGTAGTGCTTACGGCCCAGCAGATTGCCTCACGAACAGCCTCCCCTCCGCTCACGACGGTGGCCGTATAACACATGGCTGATCCCTCCTGATCCCTCACTTTCTCACCCTCTGTGCTGCATCTTCAATTCTTCCCAGCGGGTTTTCAGTAATCTTTCTTTCCTGCACAATGGCAGCCATGTCGTCCCTTTTCATTCCCGTCGCTCTTTCTTTCTTCGCCAATTCTGTTCTTGCAGCACCTGCGCCAATGGTCACTGGCACCAATTTACCTGGTAATATCGCTCAACAAGCAGGTGGTGGCCTCCCGAATCAACCTGGCAGCCCGCATGTCTCCCAATCTGGGTTGTCTGCTTTCCAGCTCGCTAACTTCCTGGAGAATCTGGAGTCGGCGTTCTTTCAGGAAGGACTAATGAACTTTACACAATGGGGAACCGGAGGACAGACGAACGGTGTGAGCAACATGGTCGTGGTATCACACATTGCTGCTCAAGAGGAGGTTCACGTTGCGTCCATCGTGGGGTTGCTGCAAGCAAATGGTGCTCAGGACGTCGCTCCATGCGAGTACAACTTCCCCACCACGGATGAGACCAGCTTCCTGGCATTGGGGAACATCATCACCACAGTCGGCATTGGCGCTCTGATTGCCCTGGCAGATGGTCTTTCCACGACTGATCCTGGCTTGGAGGCCACTGTCGCCTCGATTCTTCCTGTGGAGTCCCGTCACGACGCCTTTTTCCGCATAACCGCAAACGAAATCCCGAATCCTACCACATTCGAGACACCGATCAGTGCCATTTGGGCCTACAACTTGGCCCTCGACTTCATCGTCGGAAACTCATGCCACAACTTGCCTTCGTCCATCACTTCTCTCCCCGTCTTCCCTGATCTGGGAATTGTCGGCTATGGTGGCCCGTCATTTGCAAACCCTAGCGCCCCCGGAAAATTGATCTTCAAGGTCGGCCAACCAACCATGCTCCCTCAAGGGTGGAACTCGGGACCACTGTACATGGCTTGGGTCAACCAAAACAACGTCCCTGCATACACTGCCGTCACCCAGCAGGGCGATGAACTGCACGCAGATGTGCACCCAGGAATGTTTGGGCTTGCGTTCGCGGCACTGACGAACCAAAACACGGCGACCAATATCAATGACTTGACCAAGGCAACGCTGGCTGGACCCTTGCCAATCCCACTTACCTGAGCGTCCGTATGAGGTGGCGGAGTTGGTCGAAGATTGAATGCTATTCACGAACGTGGCAGCTGGCGGGTGGCGCCGAGGAGTTTGCGAGGATAAAGAGGGTACTGGTCGCTTGAATATTGAGCAGGAAGGGGAAACGAGCTTTGTATGCGTTAGCCATCAGGTTGGAATCCATTCTCATACCTTTTCCAACACAATGTGTCTTGTCTGTTATCGCGCTCTGTGCTCCAGTATGCCCTATTTTTTGGTGATACTTGTTTGTCTTGGACCATCCACCCATACGGCCGAATGGTCTTTGGTCGACATTTTTCTCCATGTTCCTGATCCACGACGGCCACTGACGCCTTTTCAAGACGCACAGGTTTTATACCTAAAATACCACCATGGTGGCTTTGGCCCACTTCTCTCTTGAGTTCGAGTTCGGCATTGTATTTAGATCTGTAGTGGGCGGGCACTATTACGAGAGCCAAGGGGCGGGTACTTCCATCGAGTTGTGACCTCGTCCACTTCGCTTCACTTCTTCGCTCTCTCAGTACATCCGACTCCATCTCCTCGCGGCTCACTGTTATCTTGACAGAATTAATCATTAGCCATGTGTTCGCTTCAACTCACCTCTCCTGAAAATACAAGCGCTGTTTTCCAGCCTGAATGCGATATCTGAGATGATTCTTGCTGGGTGCGTTTGATCATGTCAAATTTCATTTTCATCGATGTCCAAGATACCTCTGGGTACAACCAGAACAGAATCAAGCGCCATGCTGCCGCAGGCATCCATCGCCGAAAGCGTTCGGCCAATGTTATCCTCCGTCAGAATCTCTCATCGGCCCGAAAGGCATTGACCATTCGTCCTCAAAGGAAGCCACAACAAGGTGAAGAAGAAGATAAGACAGGGAACGTGTTGCGAATGCGGCCAGCACGGCAAAATGTGCGCGTGCGGGATCCTAAAATCGCGTTGATGTTTCGGTGGAGAGCAAGAGGACCGACGGCTCTCAAGCCTCCGAGTGACGATCTGAAGATCGAGCGCGTTTTAAGCGAATCTTTCAATTGGATGATGGGGCAATACAACTCGTCATGGTCCTCGCTGGTCCAGTGTGATTCGACAGTCTTCGACACCAATGAAGAAGTTGAAATCTTCAGAGAGGCTTTCTACATTGTCACCGACCTCTTGGAGATACAAAAAACAGACGCTGCGTTTGCGGTTCTCCAGCGTACCTTGGATGCCATTCCCCGGATGTTTCGAAATCCTCACCCCGAACTGCTGTTTACTCTAGTTGAACTTGCTTACGGGATCAACATGGGCCATGCCTCGGTTCTGCATACTCGGATCAGATTGCATGTGGCTGACCTCGCATCTACAATCTTAGGCACGAAGCACCCATTGACGATTCTGCTCAAGTCTGAATTCAATGCGTCGTTAACGAATCACGTTACTGAACTTGTGTTCAGATGCATTATCGATGCACTGGTGAAAACATTTGGACTTGATGCATATCAGACATTAGCCCACCAGATGGGCCGTTCCCAGTTCTATTCGCGCACGGGTCGAGGCGAAGAAGGCGAGAAGTTGCTTACTGATATTCACGAGCGGTGGAAGCAACAATACGGTTCTGACTCGTCTCTTGCGAGTCTTGCAGGGCTTGAACTGTGCCTTGTACGCCTACAGAATTGCCGCCAGCGAGACCAGGATCCTCACCTAGATTCAATGCTGGAGGCTCAAGCCAACAATGCGATGCTGAGGATCGAAGTCATGGCTGGAGTCTACTCAAACAAATTTACCGACAAGCCTTCGTCCCATCCCAATCTGCAGCATCAATATCCATCGACAATGGCGCTTTCGCAATGGTTCCTCCAGAATAAACGTTATGCATTTGCACTGCATTGTTATGAGCGTGCGAAGCAATCCACGACGGATCATACTCACACTTCAACAAGACGATTGGGAGATCTCATCGTTGACACGACGGAGAGTGCTCTGCATGATATCTTGTGGCAGTCTCGCACCTTGTCGATACTTCCATCACAAGCTTCCGTGCCTGGAAACGTGGTTGCAATGTCTCCAGCCTGTGACCATGAGAGCTGAGGGGGACACTTGAGCACTCGACCCTCTCTCTCACACATGTTGATGCCATGGCAGGGGCACCCGCCGCCGAGATGTTTGAAAGTTAGAGAACTCATTCCCGTTTGGAGCGCCAATCTTCCAGCATCGTCTTTCAGCATCTGAGCCGTTGTTCAATTTAATCACTCGCCACCCCGTCACGATTTATCATGTGTACTGCAATACATTATGGAAGACGGAAAGTCGTACCGCCGGACTCATGATGTGTCAATCTCGCAGGTGGGTGACCGCATTGGCCGCGTCCCTGCAGTGACAGCCTTCACTGCTGGTGGCACGAACTTGGATCTGGAAAGATGGTTTCCGTCAAGCCCGTTCGAATCTGGCTGTCTTTGCGGGATGCACAGCTGTTTGCTTACTATTGTCACTGGGTTGTATCATCCCAGTCAAGCATGCTTCATTCCTCGTTGATCCTCCAAGCCAGCATTTGAGGCAGACAAAATGCTCCGGACATTCATTGTTGCCTTTGCCTCTTTCATTCCGCTGCAGCTAAGGGAGGAAAGTGCACAACATCTTGGTGATGCCAGGAGCCGCTGCAGGTTATCCGCCTCCAACATACCCATGCACTTCTCCGATATCAAAAACAACAATCTCCACAAGTGATGTGGTTATACCTCCAATTCCGTTCTTCGACGCTCAGTTCAATGTCACTGAGGGGCAAAACTGCAACGCTGCCTACTACGATAGTCCGATTTCGATCTCCAACTACGCTATCAACGGGATTTCAACTGATATCATCAACAGCTGACTGCGGTATAATGCAGCCGCTCCCGCTACCATTCGGCCCCCTCAAAATGTGAGTCTCTTGTTTCCGTATTGGGGCATCGGAACTCGAGCGCGAAGCATGTCGCCATAATGAATATGACAGAAAGAAAGAATGGACTTTTTGGAATACATTTGCTCCACATGCGGAAAAGAACTTCCACGCGAGATTAGGGATGACCTTCGCCATCTCCAAGCATGATGTTATGAAATGCGCAGAGGCGGATATGACGGGAACTCAGTGCGGCGATGGAGCCCCATGCAACGTGTCAAAGAGTTCTGAAGGAGCTTGACCCTACAAGCAATATAAAGTTGTCTGTCTAAACCACCTTCGACTCCTTCTAGAGACAGCTTGAGGTCTGGATTTTTGAGGATATTGTACACAATGAGGAGCGTTCTAGTCACTCTTTTTGTCAGCCTTGCAGGGCTTGTGCTGACATCTGCAGAGCAGCGTCCAGGTTTGCTTCTCATGACATCTCCCTGGCTCTACACTGAGTGCTAACAGAGATTAAGTTGTGCATAATCGACACGTTCGCCGTTGTAGCAATGAAACTGGACCATGGTTTTATGGGAACGACACCAACACTTGGTCCTCTTGGGGAACTCAACACTCTGGAACAGGACAGCCTCAACCTCAGCCCACAGGAGGCTATGTATCTCAACGACCTTGTGGCGGCGAATCTGGTAGCATCATATGTCCTTCTGGACCAAGGATAGTTCCGAGTGCTCCTGCTGGCAGTGACAACAGCTCTCAGAGCTTCACAATCAGCCCCGAGCTGAGCACCCTCTCCATGTCCTTCCCCTCCTCGAACGAGACGGCAATTTCAGCTACCAGCGGCCTTCCAAGCTCTTCAACAAGCACATCATTGGGAAACGGGACTTTCACGACCGGAAACACCGTGCCTACACCGACCGACTCTTCGGCCAGTAATATAACACTCACTTCGGGTGAAGATACCCTTCCCGCTCCATCATCCAGCACTCCTATAACAAATGGGACAACGACGACAGACAGCTCCAATATCTCATCGACAACCACTACGACGCTGCGATCCACTACTACGATCTGGGCCTTGCCTCCCTCTAATCTCTCCTGTACCTATGTATCAGGCTCAAGTTGCAGTCCCTACAACGGCTCGAACTCAGTATGGCCCACTGGGACACCCACTGATGGTCCTCTGTGGACGAATACTTCGTTGTCAGCTTTGGGATATACCTCGCCTCCAATTAAGACGGACGCATCGCCTATTGGCGAAGGCACTGTGATCACTCTCACGATAGAAGCCACTCCACACCCGATTACGCCCTCCCCGATCACTCTACCACCAGAGGAAATCACTCTAACGGCCACCGTTCGGGGGAAACGCAATCATACCTCATCTGTTACGAGCTCGGGACAAGCCATGGGATCTGCGAACAGCACAGGCTCTGTCAGCGATTCAACATGGCCAGCAGAGTCTGCACCGATCACCATGACAATCGTGATAGGGAGCAACATGACCAGCATTGTTTCGACGGGTCAACCATTGACTCCAACGACATCATCTTCTCCTTCGCCCAACAACTCGTCGTTGATCTCGGCCATATCAAACTCAGCAGCACCGACAGATTCGCAATCCCAAGCCGCTTCTGAGACTTTCCCAATAACAGCGATATCCTCGTCCACAACATGGTCGGCCGGTGCCACAGCCTGGACATCAGACTCTTCTGCCCTGCCTGTTTCCTCGCCAACTCTTAATGGAACGGCTTCCAGCACAGGGGCGCCAGCTGACAACTCTACGTCAACGGGGATCTTCAACGCTACTACAACGTCATCAACAACAGTGAGTGGCGGCGCCTCGGGTTTTCCACCAGCGAGTATAACCTCGTCACCGTTCTGGAGCAATACCACAAGCAACGGCGGCCAACCGTGTTCCCTGACCCCATCGTATCTGTGGAGGGACTGGAACTGGACCACGCCCTTGGCTCCGACAGGCAGTGACGCTTCTAGCACGACGAATGCGCCTGAGCCGACTGAACTAAGCACCGCGTCTAATGCTACCACCAGCGAGACATCACCGACTTCCTCGACAGCGACGTTGCCTTCCGTGGACAACGATAACGCTACATTCAACTCCGCTGGTCCTCCCTCAGGTCTGATGCCTATAGCTGCTCCATCATCATCATCGACCGACCAGGAAACCAACGGCACGGCAACCCCAACCACGGGAGATTGGTTTGCAATGAGCACCCAGAGCGACGGAGGTGTCCTGACGACGTTTGTGACGCATTTCGGTCCCGTGCAGTCGGTCTCCGAACCTGCCGACAAGCCCTCAGTCGCGGGCGTGGGTCCTCCTCCATCGTCGTCTGCGTTGCCATTGCCGTCGGCGAGACACCATGTCGTCGTCCGTCCAAAGAGGATGGCGACTTGGGCGAAGATGGATGAGGCCTGAATCCACTTTTCAGTATGGAGAACTGGGTATTCGATGATACGAAGCAGATGTACGACAGTATCATCCGTTCGTTCACCCACCTACCCACGGGAAACAGGGAAGTGGGGGACAGGGGGGAGCGTATCTACGGGTCCTGTCATCGGTGGGCTGGAGTAGGGACTATGTCAAGTCCTTGTTTCGGTAGGAGCAGACACGTGCGGGAGAAGTAATAGCTGTAATATCATTGATCATTAATCGGATGCTTTGTGTCAAGTTCATAATCCTCATTGTTGAGAATAGGGTCTTTGTTCGAGGCTGGTTTCAAGTCTTATGCGGTCTGCATGCGGTGTGATGACACCAGTCTTGTCTGATCTTCCTCCGGCCCAACGAGGTGATTTCTTCATGTATCTCGTAACAACGTCTCGGACTGAGCATCTTCCCTGGCCTTTGCTGCGCAGTATGCTTGAGGTCCTTGATTCTACTGTCTCCGTGGGCAGTAGATCTTCGATTCTGTGCAGGGATTGGTGCGAGAGTCAGCCTATGTCGACGGCTTTGTCGACATTGAGGAATTTGGTGCCCGGGCGCAATGGCGGCAATATCGACAGTTGGTGACTTCGATGTTGTGATTCTAAATTATGATTTTGTTCTGGGGAGAAGTATCGTGCTCGGTCGCGTGGTTTGTCGATGGGCTCGATGGTAAAGTGAATATCGACCCTTGGCCCTGTCACCTGTTTGCGGTGCAGATTCCGACGATCTGTGTACCGCGCCTGAATGATTCGCCTCCACGTGGGTAGCAATGCCATTGTCCATCTCCCATTCATTCAGAATCAATCGGAGTGAGTGGTGCGCTGCTGATACCAGATGTCGCTGGGGTGGCAGCATCCTCGTCCTGGCCAGGCCGCAGGTTGGAGGAAGCTCGAGTGGCGGCGAAGGACTTTTGAGTCCATTCTGCAATCGAAGCAGCAGGCCCGCCCACGATTGTTACCGCTTGTAACTCTGTGTCCTTGCCGAGAACGGTGCCTTGGTAGCGGACTGCTTCGCCGGTCTTGCTGTGGCGCTTCTTCAACGCTGCTCAGGTCCAACGACAAAGTCAGTTTCACATTTCTGTCACTGCCACCTGACTTTGGAATTTTGTCGCAAGGAAACTCTGCGTCACTCGAAAACCACAGCAAGGAGATGAACTTACCAGAAACATAATCTTCCTGCTCGTCCAACCCTGCCGCAATCTCCTCCACGTTCACATCGTCCCCAAAGCCAGCGATCCTCCTGATCTCCTTGTTGACCGGCCCATGCGCCCAGTTCACGAACGCCTCGACTCCTCGTAAATCCTCAAACGGCACCCACACTCCTTCCATAATCTCCACGTCACCTCTCACGCTCTCCTCCACGGTGTTCATCTGCGGCACCAACGCTCCAGCCTGAGTCAGCGCGAGCCTCACATCCTGAATAGTCGGCACGAAAGTGTTGTGCGTGTTGAACGCATTTTGCGCTGTCGAAGACGCTAGTAAGAGAAGATAGCGAGCTGCAAGGTCGGTGACAGTATCGATCACCACAGGTCGCGCGGCGCTGAAGCCAGCGGCACGAAGAATTTGAAGAACTGCCGGGCGCAAAAGCGCGGTGTGGAGGTCGGCTGAAGTCATTGTGACTGCCTTGCTGGACGCGTTTCTGGTTCTGCGCAAAACATAGAACGGAGGAAGCAAAATTCGAGGCTCAACCAAACTTCACGAGACAGACAATCAGGATGGTCAGGTCATCTCGAGAGAAGGCCAATCTACCGCCAATCGCGGATCCAGC